GCAGTCTATTCCTCTTTCGGTTCTAGTCCCTGTGTCCACTCTTGTGTCTGATCCTCCTGTGCTTACCACCGCCTTGCGTCCTACTTCTCAATGTTACTCACGACAGCACCTACGACTTCACAGGGAGATTGATTTCACTGTAGAAGAACCCACATCACTTCCTATCGGTTCCTTGGAGACTCCAGATTCGGCTGACATGGACTCAGGTATTCCTCTTGATCCCTCTAATGTTTCAGTTCCTATTGATTCTACTAATCCCATTACAGATGACTTGAACCTTCCTATTGCACTCAGAGAAAAGGGAAGAGAAAGTGTATTGGTCATTGTATCTCATAATATCTATCCTACAGTGGACTTTCTCCTTCTTATCGAGCTTTCCTTTCTTCTCTTGACTTTGTCTCTATACCCAAGGGTGTCAGTGAGGCTCTCTCCAAACCTAAGTGGAAGACATTTATGCAGGAAGAAATGGAAGCCTTAATTAAGGATCAAACATGGGAGATTGTGGATCTACTAGAGGGCAAGGAGACTGTTGGATGCATATGGGTTTATACAGTTAAATACAAGGCAGATGGAAGTATAGAAAGGTATAAGGCCATACTGGTTGCAAAAGGGTACACTCAAACCTATGGCATTGATTACTTAGAGACCTTTGCATCAGTTGCAAAGATGACTTCTGTTCGGATCCTTCTCTCTCTTGCTACTACATACTCTTGGTCCCTTTTCCAACTTGATGTAAAAAATGCCTTTCTGAATAGGGATTTGCAAGAAGTGTATATGAATCTTCCTGTTGGTTTCTATAGTGATGCTGAAAAGGGGAAGGTATGCTGATTGAAGTCACTTTATGGTTTAAAACAGTCTCCCAGAGCATAGTTTGATAGGTTCAGGAAGGCCTTGATTGCTTTTGGCTACATTTAGACTCAATCAGACCATACTTTGTTTGTGAAGCAGAGGGGGTCCCTGGTGTCAGTTCTGATTGTTTATGTAGATGACATTGTAGTTACAGGAAATGACTTGAGTGAGATTGACAGCTTGAAGAAGAATTTGCACAGAGAATTTGAAATTAAGGATCTTGGGGAGCTGAGGTATTTCTTGGGCATTGAGGTTGCAAGATCAAAGCATGGAATTTTTATTTCTAAGAGGAAGTATGTTCTAGACCTTTTACAAGAAACATGGAAACTTGGAACAAAGGCAACCAGTACTCCTATTGATCAGAATCACAGAATTAATGCATCAGAATGTGAGTTGGTAAAGGACATTGGGAGATATCAGAGACTTGTGGGGCGGCTGCTATATTTATGTATGACAAGACCAGACATCTCCTATGCAGTGAGTGTGGTGAGTCAATGCATGCATGCCCCACGAGTCCAGCATTGAGAGGTTGTTGACAGGATTCTTGCTTATCTAAAGGAACACCCAGGCAGAGGCATACTATTTGCTAACCATGGATAGTTGAAGCTAGAGGCTTATGCAGATGCTGATTGGGCAAGATGCCTTGATGACAGGAGATCTACATCAGAAGTTTGCACTCTTGTTGGGGGTAATCTAGTTTCATGGAAAAGTAAGAAGTAGACAGTTGTGACAAGGTCAAGTGCAGAAGCTGAATGCAGAGCCATGGCACATGGAGTTTCAGAGCTTCTCTGGATCCGTTCCTTGTTAGGAGAGATTGGTGTTGAGGCAGAAGAACCTATGATGCTATACCGTGATAATCAGGCAACAATTAACATTGCCCACAACCCAGTTCAGCATGCCAGGACAAAGCACATTGAAGTGGACAGACATTTCATATGAGAAAGGGTGACTTCAAGGGGAAGTTTGTCTCCCATACATTGCTTCTGATTTGCCGCTTGCTGATGTTCTTACAAAAGGTGTTGCAAGGAACAAGCTGGAGCACGATCTACACAAGTTGGGAATGTGTGACATTTACTCCCAACTTGAGGGAGAGTGTTGAGTTGGGCCGATTTTGAGTTATTGGGCCCAGCCTTTTATTTTTTATTTTTAAGTTGTTAAGTTAGGAAGTTATTGGGCCTTAGGCCCATTAGTTCATGTTATTTTAAGTTGTGACTGTTCAGCTACTTAAAGTAGCCGCCCTACTAAGGGTATTCTTGTAATCTTCCATTCTTTTATTTTAAGTATATAATCAAGAGGGATTGGCGGCCAGATCTATTCAATTCTAGCGACATCCCACTCTCTTTTCTTCTTCTCTCTTCTTCTCTACTATTGAAACCTTTCAGCTTCTTCTACTTTTCTTCACAAGGCATTCATCTGAAACTGTTATCAGCAATTTCTACTCATCTTAAGTATACTTATTCTCATTTTATCACCTATTGGAGCTATACCTAGGTTTTTTGTGCTAAATTCATTTTTGATCCTATCATTATTTTATACTTCATCTTTCTCAAAAAAAAAAAAAAAAAACACTAGTTTTCCCACTCATTAATCTCAACATTAACACTTCTTCCACATTCTTTTTTTTGGACATGTTGTTTATTGGCTTCCCAAAACTTTGTTCTATACAACATTACTGGCTTTATAAGTGTTTTATAAAACACTCTTTTAGTGTAAGCAGTATTCTCCTATAACATAGAACTCCATATGCACCCATCCAACTTCCTCCTCAATCTCTCCCTTGTTGTGGATTTATCGAACCAAGGTAATGGAAGAGGTGACCTTGAGATATCTCTTGGTCTCTGATTCAGTGTACCCTGATTTTTTTTTCGGACCAATAACTGTAAATTTCATTCAATTAAGATGTAATAGCACAAATAGAAAATCAGTGAGAGATAAACCCTCTTATCTCTCCCCTTTAGATTTTAAACAAAAGTTACAACTGTGTCAAAATAGTTGATTTCTCCCAACCCCTTGTTTGGCTAATGCATTGGCCATCGAATTAGCAATTCTTTTCACCCAAAGTATTCGCAGTTCATGTCCTTTGTGATCCATTTGAATTGTTTCTTCTTATTGTTGTATCTCCACCTCCTCCTATCCTCATCCAGTAACCATGCCATTACCAGTTTGGAGTGTACCCTGATTTTTAGTACTATTTTTTTTTATGAAGAGAAAAATTAACTGTTATTAGCAATAAGTTAATAACTATAGTAACATGTAGAGAAAAGGAAAAGAAGGATGAGGTGACCTTGATACATCTATTTTTCCTTACAAAATATAATGACAAAAAGGCCAATGACAACTCTGCTCAATTTCTCACTATCCCTTGCCACTTTGTATTGAAGTATGATCTGTTTATCTACTTAATAGTCTGCTAAAGCCCAGTTCATGATAAAAGAACTGATATCCTTATAAATTCTCTGCAGTTGGTGAGCTTTTTCCCAAATGTCCCATAGTGCTGCAAAGAAAATAGTTCTCCATAAAATAGCTCGCTCCTTCAGATTTAAAAGAAATCGAAGGTCATGATTGTAACATATGGGAAACCAGTCTGGTAGTCTTCAATCCATTTGAATAAAAAGATACAACCCCATACCTTCTTAAAACGATGTATAAGAGAAGTAATTGGTTGGCATCTTTTTCTTGCCAGGGAGGATATGAACCCACCAAAGTTTTCAAAACACCTCTTATATACATTGTGGGTAATAGGAAGTGACCCCATCTAGAGCCCCCTCCCCCCAAATGAAGAACCATGGCTCTACCCCCCTAATTCTAGCTTCTCATCAATGTTACGTGAGCATGGACACATGCGTCAGAATCTGATATGTTCCCTAGAGTCTGGCTCAGAAAGATGATAAAAACATGGACTCATGAATCATTTATGGAAAAAGTATCCTCATCATCATCCAAACCTTATCCCAAGTATATGGGGTCGGCTACATGAATCCTGTTTATGAAAAACATATATATTATTAAAGGAGTTAGTATCTTTTGAATTCTAACATTATATAGGAGAGTCTATTCAATATTCCTCACACAAAACATGTTTACTTGTTAAATGAATCCTTCTCAACCAGAGCTAATCTTGACTGAGATTTTTTTTTCCTCTATTGTAAAGCCACTAACCGTGCAAAGACCTCCACTCTATGAGACATTATGTTCCCTCCACAACTTTTCCAAACTTGTCATTACCTCTGTTGAACCTCTGATTAGCTTATTACATAAGGAATTGATTGAAAAGTCACCCTTGGGATCATCAGACCACACCCTTATATCCTCTTAGTCTAGTTGGAGAAGTACCTCATAGTGGCCATCAAAAAGGTGTGCATTCTATCTGCTCTCCTCTTCTTTGTTGCATTCATAAATTATACAGCTCTCTGTTCAGACTTAGGTTGGATTTGGATAATTGGGGAGACATCAAAATGTTTCCTTACAGAATGCCATGCATCCTCTCAAAACCTTATTTGAACACTCATCCTCATTTTGAAAGTACAGTCAGCTACCAAAATGTCTGCATGTTTCCATAAATACACCTCATATGAAGCTGTGGCAAGAATATGGTCCCAACCCAAATTTTGTGAAGCATATTTCTACACAACTCTCCTCCATATCTGCAGTTATGTTGAGATGCTCTTCACAATTAGTTGCTCTGGTCTCACAATCCACCTGGCTTAGTTGGATATTGTTGGATTCCTTAGAACTCTGAGAAATTCTTTTCAGACTAAGGCTCAAAGTTTCAACACAATACACTCTGTATCGGGCATATCGTATCGTATCGGCAAGTGGCTGATATGCCTTTTTCAAGGCTTTTCCCAAAAGTTTGCTTTTTAAATGTTAAATAGCCTTTAACTGACCCCTTGGCATATTTTAGTAAAAGAAAACTAAAAAAATATGAGTGCAAGGTTCAAAGTGTCGATACACCCCTTGCGGCGTATTGAGGTGTATTGATACTTTGAACCTTCTCTCCTCCAAGCCGGAACTAAGAGGAAAGGGAAACGAATGTCTCTTTTTTCCAATCAAGTTACAATTTTTTTCGTATTGGTTGAATTGATGTTTTCATACCTTCAAGATTTACAATGATAAAATTACTGTCTTATTCTTTTTTTTTCATCTTACAGGGTCCGCATGCACTATGGGCATCCTGATGTGTTTGACAGGATATTTCATATATCTCGAGGTGGAATTAGTAAAGCATCCCGTGTCATAAACATCAGTGAGGACATATATGCAGGTATGGTAAAGATGTTTCATGTATGTTGTGCTGTGTTTTGATATGTTATTCCATGAATCTATCCCTGGTTATGGCCCTAACTTTACAATGAGGTTGTTTCGATATACATTGTTTAACGTGGCTCCTTCATATGGATGATACTATATGTATAGTTTTCTACTTGTCTCAACGAACTAACAATACCTATCCTGATTCATGAGTGCCATTATCACTGATGTCCACAATTTGAATGTTACAGGTTTCAATTCCACATTACGGCAGGGTAACATTACACACCATGAATACATTCAGGTTTTCATATTTCTGAGAATCTTGTATTTGTCTATCCAAAGCATAGATCTTTCCATTACTTTTTTATTGATAACATAACTATCCATGCAGGTTGGAAAAGGGCGTGATGTTGGGCTGAACCAAATTGCCCTTTTTGAGGGAAAAGTTGCTGGTGGGAATGGGGAACAAGTCTTAAGTAGAGATGTATATCGGCTTGGGCAACTATTTGACTTTTTCAGAATGTTATCTTTCTACTTTACAACTGTTGGTTATTATGTTTGCACAATGGTATGTACTCTTGTTAGGCTGATCTTTATTTCCATTCTAAATTTCACTCCACAGGCTGTTAACTTTGCAACATATTATGTTTCTGACCAAGTTATTAACTGATGCAGATGACGGTTCTTACTGTGTACATTTTCTTATATGGAAGGGTTTATCTGGTAATTTGACATACTCTACTATCTGTTCTTTGATTATTATGATGTTTTCAAGTTATGGTTTTTCATAATCTCAAGCCAAAGACAAAGTTTTGTACTATGGCAAAACAAAATATGAGTGAAACCTATACATCCTGACTAAATTCAAAGCTGCCAAAGAACCACTACCAAAAGAAAATTCATTGAACTCATTGAACTCCAGCATATAAGCATCCAGTTCAAGATCAATGATCCGATGCCATCGTCCTCTCTATTTCCCTTTTCTCAAAATTCTTCTGTTTCTTCTTTCCCTATCAACCAGAAAACCACAAAGGGAATCATACTCCAGACCTGTTTTTGATTTGTGTTTGTAGGCCTGTTATCCTTTTTTATCAGTAAGTAGGCCTATTTTCCTTGTGCAATGGAAACATTATAACTTCCCTTCTTTTTTCTCCTAATCAAGATACTTTGAATGTTTCAGGCTTTTTCTGGACTTGATTATCAAATTACCCGGGAAGCTAAATTGTTGGGTAATACTGCACTGGATGCTGTTCTAAATGCTCAGTTCTTGGTCCAAATTGGAGTTTTTACTGCAGTCCCAATGATAATGGGTTTTATACTTGAACAAGGATTACTGAAGGTTTGTCATTCTAATTTTCACCTCAGTGCCGATAAGCTTTTTCATTGACTGATTGATGAATAAGCTACAATTGTACAAGAATCTTAGGATTACATTATTTTTTGCATTTCCTGGAGTGCTCTGTCCTACATTTCATGTGCATGGTAGAATAAGATTCTCTAAAAGTTATACTAGTGTCAAGATATGAACAAAGCAATTTTCCCTATGCTCAATGGCGTTCTCTGGGGAAAATAGCTGCTCAATCTGAGATATCCAAAGATCAAAGGGATGATATTCATTCCAATTCTTCATAATGTTGCCTTGACTGTTGCAGGCTGTTTTCAGTTTTATTACAATGCAGCTTCAGTTGTGCTCTGTTTTCTTCACATTCTCTCTAGGAACTAGAACTCATTATTTTGGACGTACGATACTCCATGGAGGTGCAAAAGTATGTTTTTCTTTTCTGTTGTACTTGTTTACAAATTTATGCAACTTTTTAGAGGACATAATAATATTGATATTTACATTGTAAAATATCATCAACAGTACAAAGCAACTGGTAGAGGCTTTGTTGTACGTCACATCAAATTTGCAGAAAATTACAGGCTTTATTCACGGAGCCACTTTGTCAAGGCGTGAGTGCTTTTTTTTGTACATTATAGGTTGTCTTTTTTTTTAATATTTCTTTGTTGACCTCTTTCACTATAATAGTTCTGAGCACATTTGCTTTTCGATTTCCAATTTTTGTCTATGCAGATTTGAGGTGGCGCTGCTTCTTATAGTTTATATGGCATATGGTTATACAGATGGAGGCTCTGCTTCCTTTGTCCTGCTAACTTTCAGTAGTTGGTTCCTTGTCATATCGTGGCTCTTTGCTCCTTATATCTTTAATCCTTCAGGATTTGAGTGGCAGAAGTGAGTTCAATAATATATTTGATAAATTCATGTGGTTTTCCACCGTGAATTTGATAAACATAGGTGGTAAATTGATAGTGTCACTTGATTGTTTTACATCATTGAAACCATTCTGCATACAGAAGTTTTGTGCTTCTCTTCTCAGATCATCATCATTTAAGACTTATCCTAACTATATGGGGTTAGCTACATGAATCCTGTTTTTCCATTCTTTTCTGTTCAGTGCCATATCCATTGTTAATTTATGACCACTTAAATCTTACTATTTCAATCAATTCCCTTTTCAGTCTGTGCCTTGCTCTTCTAGCCTCTTCAACTTGTAACAGTAACTTATGGGTGCTGTAGATGGTCTTCTCTGACATGACCAAACCATCTTAGTCTACTTTCTCTCATTTTATCACCTATTGGAGTTACTCCTAGGTTCCTTTGAATGACTGCATCTGCAACCCTGTCCTTTCCTTTCTAGTTTTCCTTCGCCTGCTACACTCATTTTTTTCAACACATTGTTTCTTGACTGCCCAACACTCTATACAATATTGTTGCCTTATTTTTTCTCAAATAAAAGAACATTTTATGTGGAATACAGGACTGTGGAGGACTTTGATGATTGGACCAATTGGCTTCTGTATAGAGGTGGAGTTGGGGTGATAGGAGAAGATAGCTGGGAATCTTGGTGGGATGAAGAACAGGTACTTAGAGACTGCTGCTTCCATGTTTCCATTCTAAACATAAGGATACAGTTGTACATGGTTTTTCATTGGTCCATGTAGAAAAATTCCTATTACTATGCCATTTTGGTTTCTTTTTTAATTCTCATTTGTGCGTTAGAGCTGTATCTTCTCCTTTTTTGATATCTTCTGAAGGGCACCCAGCAGGAGACCTTACCAACCAGCTGGTTGGCACCTTGCAGCTCCTTGCATTGCATCTTTACAATATGGAAGCTTGAACACCAATCAGAAAATGATATGTTTGTACAGAAATATCTTCTATTTATTTGAAATTAGTGGTTTACAGACGACGATAAGTAACCTTTCTGACTAAAAACTCAATCTACTGTATTCATAAGCTTCTTAAGCTTTCTTATTACCAATACTATTCTTTTACTGAGCATAATGTCAAGTACATGTTACGTAAGGCCTTAAGCATTATCTAGGACTTGTGTGGCATCATGCAATTTAAACAATTTCTTTTATTCCATCTGCAGGTGCATATCCAAACATTGAGAGGCCGTATCTTGGAAACAATATTAAGCTTGAGATTTTTCATATTTCAATATGGCATAGTCTACAAACTACATCTCACTGGAAAAGATACTTCACTGGCGGTATTCTTCCTGCAACTATAACTTTATTATGAAAGATGTATATGTTCCGTATTTTACTCAGAGACCAGAGTATATATGCATAGGGGCCATTGCTTGGTATTATGGTAAAGTCTCAGGCTAACAAGCATGAGAACACATATTTGAGTTGAGTGGCCACTTTGTGCAAAAAAAAGGTTAAGGTTCATATCTAGTCTACCCCATCCCTAGACTCCAGATGGCTGCGATGGACTTTGATTAATTGCCTTTTTTACCAGACTGTTTGCATTTTATTTGCTGATGTTGCTATCTCTAGGCATGCATATTTTGACTTTTACTACTCTGTGGACCTTAGGCTCAAATGCATTGACTGCTTCATTGTGATATTTATGTGTTCTTTTATTTATACAAATTATATTGCATGAAACCGGGTTCAATTTTCTAGTTTGTATGTCTGCATGAGTAACTTACAGTATTGTGGGATTCATAAATTATAAACGAATTAAAATCTTTATTGGATAGATATTACAGATGCATTAAGTTTCTTCTCCAGGATTGACCACGGAAATTTGTTTATGTTTACTGTGCTACCAATTTTCACTTTGCCTGGGCTAAGAAGAAAGAATACGGATGCTTTCTTCTATTTTATGAACCAGGGATGCTGCAGCCATTTCTGATTTGTCTGTTGGTAACTGAGCAGAGAATCACTAAAATCTAATCCACATTAGATAATTATAAATAAATGAGAATCATCAAGATTATAAAGTTTGAGAGCTAACCACACTGCTGCTCTTCTCCAGCCTTTTTTTTTTTAATTTTCTGGTCCTACTGACAAGACTGAGTTAGCATTGTTTAAACCAATTATACTAATTATGATATTATCAAGTCAATGTCCACATTTTCAAATCCTCGATGATGAATTCTGATTTCCATCTTCAACCAAGGGGAGTCTGATTGGTCCACACTTAAAAAAAATGTATGAAATTAAATGAGTTCTGCTGTCTCTTCATCATAATTATTTGAGTCTGATTGTCCCAAATCAAGGTTCAAAAAATCGACACATATCGGCCAATACGTATTGTATCGGGAGCACCCCGATATGCCCCTACAGAGGGTGTATTGGGGTTTTGACCAGTTCAGGGGGTGGAGGAACCTTAAACCGGCCCCCTGAACTGGATTTGAAAAAAAAAAAAAAAAGTTCAAAAAAAAATTTAAAAAAAAAACAGTACCGATACGCCCCTACCGGCATATCGGGCGTATCGATATTTAGAACCTTGTCCCAAATAATGAAAGCAGTCCCATTTCTATCATTGTGAAAGTTTTTTTCATGTTTTCCAAATATCAGAAGAAGGGTTAAATAACATTGTTGGGTTTAGATTTGAATATGATGCTATGGTAAAATCTGGTATAAGAATACCTAATAATGGCATACAGTTTACCTATACTTTAATTGTTGCATTTCTCCTTAAAATGATAATTGCCCCTCTCCAGATTTACGGGTTCTCCTGGGTTGTTCTTGTTGGCATTGCCATGATATTCAAGGTTTGTACTCCACTTGCTTAAGTTTTTCGTTTTCAGCCTCCAAAACATTTGTCTTTGAATTTATTTTTGCTAAGATTTAACCTGTAAAACTGATGGTTTATGAGCATACATGCTCTACTTCTGTGCAGATATTCACCTTCAGCCCAAAAAAGTCTTCCAACTTCCAGCTAGTTATGCGATTTATACAGGGAGTCACATCCTTGGGCCTTCTTGCAGCCCTTTGTCTTGTTGTTGCATTCACTGATCTGTCAATTCCAGACATTTTTGCCAGCATACTAGCATTTATTTCTACCGGTTGGGCTATTCTATGCGTAAGTAAATGGTCTCCATGGAGTTCGGCCCATGTTCGTTTTGGCTATATTATGATACTGTAGATGACCAACTGCCCCTGCACTGCAGTACATGTGGCATACAGGAATGATTGAGTCTTAGCATTCAATTGGTCACACCTAAGCAGTGTTTTAAAAGCACAAGACGCAAGCCTTTGCAAGGGGGCTGCACTTGTGCCTAGGCAAGGCACACCCCTTGAAATGCCCCTTGCCTATGTGTCCCAAGCACACCTTTTTAACCACTGTACCCAAGAGATATCACTAGACCAAAATCAACACAATGGTAATTCTAAAAGTGAGTAAATTAATGGTGTGGCCATAAGGATACTGATTTTGACCTAGATATTGCTTTCCTACTGCATTCTTCCTACTTGTGTGTGTGTGCACGCGCGTGTATTGTTACTGTTTGCTTCTTCTTCCCCTCATTCATTGTAATCTTGACAACCTTTTTTACTCATTTGGTGTGCACTGCTTCCATTTGCTCCTTGGTAATTACCTCCGAGGAAAGACATAATTGTCTGTCCAAATTGGATACCCTTTCCCTCTTTATCATGCAAATAACCTGCTCAGCCGATGCAAGCAGTCTTGTTTGTTTAACTATTTAACTTTCTGTTCTATGCAGCTGGGAATTACATGGAAAAACATTGCGAGGACTTTGGGGTTATGGGACTCAGTTCGTGAGTTTGCCCGATATTATGATGCTGGAATGGGCGTGCTCATATTTGCTCCAGTGGCGTTTTTGTCATGGTTCCCATTTGTATCCACCTTCCAGTCACGCCTTCTCTTTAACCAAGCATTCAGCCGAGGACTGGAGATATCTCTCATCCTTGCTGGAAACAAAGCCAACACTCAATTTTGATAATCATTCTTTTTGCCCAGTCTAAAGAGATGCAGGAATCCTATCTTCAGTTAAATAGTATGTAATTTGAATCCTTTACTCGTTATAATATCCCGTGTACCTTATTTGCAAAGTTGCAAGTTTTCTTTTTCTTCTGTTTTATGCGTAAAATATCATTAATTAACGGAACAAAGAAATAAAAGGCTCTAAACAAACAGGAGAGCTGTTTCGTCAAACAGAATCCACAAAAAATTTAGTCAACTAAGCCAGCTTATGCGCAGCCCTCTTTAAGGACCCGGTGCATAACTAAAAATAATTAAGAGACAATTTGAGAGTCCTAATATTATCTACCCAACCATTAGTGTCCCAAGAGAAAGATGGAGAGCCATATTCCAAAAAGTCTGTATCAACCTTAGCATGTGACAAAATCAAAACAAGCTAATACTCTTTGGCAAAATCCAACGCCATATTCAGGGCTAATAGTTCTGCAACTGCTACACTTTCAAAATGCTTCCATCTACAACTTGCATCCATAATGAATGATTTAGTTGCAATAAAAACCAAGGTTTTTAAAATCAGACCAGACGGGGAACCGTTCTGGGTCCAGTTTCCAGGTCAAATGGTCCAACTGTCCGGTCCAAATGGACGATCCATTCTGACAAAAAATTAGAACAAAAAGCAAAAAATGATCAAAAACTGTTGTCTGGACCAATGAGTCAATGGTTTGATCATCCGAGTAAGCGATATGTTGCCCAAATCAATAGGATTTGCCCAAAAAGCTGTTTTGGGATCAAATAGAACTGTTCAGGTGACCGGTTTCTTGTTGAGGTTGAATCAATAAAGCTAACAAGAAAGCAACAGATCCAATTTAGGCCTCATGACAACGCACTCCAACGGGGAGGCAACCAAAATAACCTTAGCAAAGGACAAGAACAAAACAAGTGTAAAACCATTTCTTACTCGACCCTACATAAAAAGCAAATCCTGTCAATTGCTACCAGTCTGCCAATCTGACCATATTATAAATTAAATTTGTAACTAGCCTCCATAGAAACAATCTAAAACTTGAGAGGAATGTAGAGACCAATGGTTTTGACTTGGAGTCGCGCATTTTGCTTGGTTTATAGTTGAGGTTGTTTGGATTCTTCTCTAGTATAGTTGTCGGAGCAGTTTTGTGAATTTCACCAGTCAAGATTCCATACAGAAATCGGTGAATACAAAAGATTGGTTTTTAAATTTGTAGTCTTTTACTCTTTTATGGATGGTCAAATTCTGTTTATTTTGTATTTTTTTAGAGTAAATTAGAAAGACCCCTCTGTACAATGGCGTCTGTGACAAAGACCCTCTTGTACTTTGTTTTGTGACAAAGACTCCCCGGTTGCATCAAACGCATCATGTGCCCAAACCCCCCTGCAAGCAATGGCACATGTGTCGCTGGTGGAACTGGCCTGGCCGAAACCAGTTGGCAGGCAATCATCGGTGGAATCATGCGCCCAAACCCCCTGTAAGCGGTGCCATCTGTGTCGCTGGTGGAACCGACCCGGCCAAACCAGTTGGCAGGCAGTCATCGGCAAAGGTAAAGAGGTGGATTGGGATGAAGCAAAGATGGTGCTGCTGCAACTTCTGGCTGAAACCAGTTATCGGAAACGGTAGTAAGCTTTGCCTAGAGAGGGGAAATTGGAAACAGTAGCCAATGGTTTCATTTCCAACCGGCGAAGAGAGCAGCAAAAATTCCAAACGTCTCTCACGGTGCTGCTGCAACTTCTAGCTGAAAGCTTTTCCGAGAGAGGGGAAATCGGAAACAGTAGCCAATGGTTTCGTTGCCAATTGGTGAAAAGAGCAGCAAAAATTCCAAACATCTTTTGCGGTGCTGCTTCAACTTCCGGCTGAAACCAGTCATCAGAAACGGTAGCCAATGGTTTCATTTCCAACCAGCGAAGAGAACAGCAAAAATTTCAAACGTCTCTCACGATGCTGCTGCAACTTCCGGCTGAATGAGAAACATAAGTGAAAAAACCTCCATTCGTTTTACACAAGTGTGCTCCCTCACTTGGGAATGCCATCCCCATTCCCTATTAAGGGAAAACAATAGGTAAATAGGTTTTAAGAGAAAAAGGGCAGGAAAAAAAATAAAATAAAATAAGTTTAGTAGGGTATTTTTATAATTTAACGTATTCCGTTATCTGACTTAACGGTCAAAGGGGATATTTGTAACGTATTCCGTTACAAAAAGGTCCCGTATAGTACAAGGAGGTCTTTATAATTTATCCTTTCAAATTCGCATATCTCATTACGTGCAACAACCGTATATGACGACCTTCGATGGACCTCTCACTTCTATTTTCTTTCTTGCATCATTTCGTCACATTTTCTTTTTGAGTTCTACTCATGTGTTAAAAGGTAAAGATTTAATATGTATCGATTTTTTAAGCACTACACCAACTCACGGCACAGGTGGAACGTCTGAAACTTTATTCCATTCTACGCATGTCCACCATCTTGTTTGATAAAATCATATTGATTGTTAACACATTCAAATTTGTTCTACTTTGTAATTAATTTTTATTCTCTCGTTAATTATTATGTTTAAGACTTAAGTTATTGAAACTGTCGACTGATAAGGTCTCTGATTAATTGTAGCGGGGTTTGAATCCTGCCTTTGCCAATAAATAAATAAATAAATAAAAGCTGAAGTGGCGTCAGATGGAGTTAGAATTGATTTAGTACATTACGAGTTACAACAAGGATGACAGATCCACGTCTGTCGGCTGTACTTTCTGGGCAATTTCATTTGATATGAGCATGGTTTTTAAAAACGAATCGATGGCCGAACCGGTCAGGGTCTGTTATCGGTTTGAATGGTCTGACCATTCAACCTGAGTGGCCGGTCCGTTCTGACAAAAGAAATGAAAAATTAAAAAAAAAATAAAAAACGGTCAAAACAGTTCGAACAGTTAATCGGCCGGTTCAACGATTTACTGACCAAAATCAACGGTTTTGGAGGAAAACAGAACCAATCAAGTGACCGGTTCCCGGTTTTTCCAGTCCAACCATCCAATCCCATCCGGTTTTGAAAACAGTGGATATGAGCACATAGGGGATTTAATTTGGGGTAGGGTTGCAAGGAGTGTCAAATGGACTGGTTTTGGGTTGGATCCATTCGAACTAAAACCAAATTGGATGGATTGGATGGACCAATAAGTCATATTGAATTGGACAAGTCCTGACTTAATTGTTCAAAGCATTTGTTGGATTGGATTGGACCTGGTCCATCCGTAATGAATTTATATTGGATTGAGCCAATATCTGATTCATTGATAAAATATATGAATATGGGTGTCAATGGATCAGGTTTGGATTAAAATTAATCTAAATTCAAACAAATTTAAACAGATTGAATGATCCAGATATTAAATTAGACTGGCCCAAAATAGTTCAAAATATTCATTGGATTAAATTGGACCTGGTCCATTTATAATGGACTTACATTGGACTGAATCGAATTGGACCAAATCTAGTCTAATTGACACCCTAGCTGCAAAGATGACACAGGTAAATTGACACCCTATCAACAATTTTGATTTGTTGATATTCAAAATTGAGTAGGATCTTATACGTAACTCTCTATCTAAAATAAATCCCTTAAACCAAAACCAAAGGTTATTATTCAAATAAGTGGTATCATATTTTTCAATAAAAAATATTTAAAAAGTGGTTATTTTAACTCTCAAATAGAAACATTCTTTTTTTAGATGTGTATGTCTAATTTCAAAAAATATATATAAAAAATAGGAAAATAAATTTCGTTTATTTTCAAATAACAATAAACTACTTTATTTTCTAAACAATAAACCACAATATATATCCAAATGGTAAAGTTCATACACATCTAAAAAAAGAATGCTATGTGTATACTTGTAGAATCCATAAAGTGGTTTATTGTTTAGAAAATAAATTTGAATTAAATAACAAATCTATATATAAAAAAAAATCAAATGAAAATAATATAAATTTATAACATTAATAATGGGTGCCAAACAAAAACTATTCAACCCTTTAGAGGTCATTCTTTACTAAGGGTCCATTAATGAGAATTCGAATCAACTCGAATGGATTCTCATCCCCATTAAAAAAAAAAGGAAAAATTAAAAATCAAAATCAGATTTCAATTCCACCCAATCAAATAATTGAAATCAAAATGGACTCTAAACCCCAACGACCCCAGATAATAAATAAACGCTGAAGTGACGTGTTCGTGAACTCTTCAGGTGGAAGCGAATTATAAAACCGGTAGATTGGACTTTGGAAACAATTCAGATTTCAGGTAGAGTTAAAACTGATATAGTATATTAAGAGGTACAATAAGAATCATATATCCATGTGTGTCCAGCTATTGTGCAAGAAAATGTATTGGATCCTATGGTTGTACTTATTTTAATCAGGAGCGAGGGAGGGGAGGGTAGCGATGTGATAGACTTTGGCATTTCTCATGTGGGACCCAGCGCTGTTTAATTAATGCGTATTACGCGATAAGCGTATCTCCTCTGTCCTGGGCTTTTGCCTTAAGACTCGCTCGCTCTTTCTCCCTCCCTCTCTCTTCTCTCTCTCCGGCTCGTTGTCCACTTTGGCCTGTCCAACCAAAATTTTCCTTCTTTGTCTCTTTGTTTTTCTTTTTTATTCCCCCTTTTCCACTTCTGCTCTCTTTCTCCCCCTGTGTCCCTTCTTCGTCTCCGGTTTCCTCTGGGACTCCAAGCTCCTTCGATCTTCCGTTATGTCGTCGGTAAGACACTCGTCACGCCAACTTCCAATCAAATTCCGCCTCAATCGGAACTGGTTTTGATCTATCCTTTTCTTTTTCTTTCAATTTTATGATTTATCTATTGTTAAAATGAGATTTAGGGTGATATTTCATTTTCGGGAAGAACAGCTTAGCTTCTTGGAAGATATTAATGAATATGCAGGCCTCTTTTATAGTTAAATGTTTTTTTTTTTCAGTATTTGGGGCTGAAAAGTTGGAAAGAAACAGTGAAGAATTTGGGGGTTTTGATAGAGTGGACGGTGCCATGGTGGACTTTCAAAAATAAATGAAGAGGGAGATGCTGTGGTTCAAAATGTGTCTCTTTTGAAGTTTAGGTCTGTTGCTTACAGGTAGGGCATGTTAATGGGAGTATTCTATTGATCAATCAGATGGAATATGAACCAGCGCATTGGTTATTTAAATTGTTTCAATAATACAATCCTTTTAGGATATTTTGGTGTGATCAAGTAGTTCAAAAGGTGTTGCACTTGTGAAAAATATTTAATTAGTACGATGAACACCTTCGTAAGCTGTGGCCTGAAACATCATTCTCCATTACTGGTTGTGGAAAGGAATAGTTTATTTTCTTTCTACTCAATAGTTAAACCTTCTTAAGATAGCAAAATGGAAATATTTTATCTGCTTTTCGAGTTGCATTCTCTTCTTTGTGAGATCAAATTCAGGATTCAAAACACTCGTTATTAAATGTGTCATTCCTCTTTTCCTTGAATACTTGCACTTTCTATTGGGATGATGATGCTGATAGATTCTGCAGAATTTTGACCTTGCAAACGCATGCAGGGACCAGAGTAACCATGGTTATAGTTGTAATCTGTAATTGCAGGAGGGGAAGGGTCTGCCGTTGCCTAAATTCGGGGAGTGGGATGTCAACAATCCCGCATCAGCCGAAGGGTTCACGGTTATATTTAATAAGGCCAGAGATGAGAAGAAGACCAGTGGGACTGCTGGGGGGTCAGTGTCACCAGGAAAAGACGACGCCTGCAAGAAAAATGGCAATGCTCCGTTTCCCCAAAAGGTATGTTTTTTTTTCTTCTTTTTTTTAACCTGGTAAGGAAATTAGAATACATTAATTTTTAAGCACCTGGGTGGATACCTACATTGTTATGTTTCTCTAAAAAAACCAATCTATCTCCAACACGTTTGATCCAAATTGGGTGCAGAAAAGATGGTTCTGCTGTGTTTGAACCTTCGTAGGAGAGATGAGAAGTCAACAACTTTTCTTGTAGTGATATTGATTGGTATACAACTTGTCAAATTGGGTCCTTCCCATTCGCAAATGTCCCCTTTTGACAGATTTGACAGGGTGGGTGGTGTCTTGTTCAGATCTGCGCCCCACAACGTCCCACATCACATCCCTGCAGAGAAACATCTCCCGATGATGGCATCATTGGTTCTAGTATTATCATCAGCAGATGTTTTCAATACACGGCTAGGATGTGCTGCAAGACGTTGTGGGGCACAGATGTGAACTCGTCTTCTGATTTCCTGTTGACCTCCGTTTCTGTTCCCCCATGCTTTGGTTATATATATAAAGGATGAAACAAAGAAAATGGTTTTACTAGCTTTCTTGCTGGATGATTTTAGTTTTAGTGTTTGTGATTAGGCTCAGTTGGAAGGAGTACAAATACAAATATGTAGAGTGCAAGCAAAACTATGTATTTTGCATTTGCATTATAACATGTCAATATCATGTACGGCCAAAAATTTACAGAATTCAGTATGTTGTATCGCATTCCTCTCGCTGGACAGTGGATACTAATCAAATGCAATATGCATATTTAGTAGCAAAGCAGGGGCCAGGACTCAGGAGCTTCAAGGGGAAGAAAAAACTGCCAAATTCATGCGGGTAAACATTGCATCTTATCCTCGGTGTGGTGGACATTTTGTTTTAGGACCGTGGATGCTCCATTACCTGATTACCCGGCAAGCTCAGTCCCTACTAGCAGAGTCCATAAGTTTTGCACTCAATTTTTGGTTCATTAAAATTTAGAAGACCATAAAAGTCAGTTACAGTTGAGTCTGGACCAAGCTGACATACCCAATAAACATTCAGGCAGGCCAATAACATGTTAACTTTAAAAATGAAAACTGTGAAATTGTTCAAAAAAAATCCTTGTTTAGCTTTTGTATCTGCATTGACTGGATGAAATAAAGTTTATTATTATTTAACGCTTAAAAAAAATATTTTGCCATTCTTATCTATCTGATTAATAAGGATGATTTGGCAGGTCCGGGTGCCAAACCGGGATAGGACCAAAGCCAACAACTACAGGCGCAGTAGGGGTATCAAATTTGCTTCAGTTTAGATTAATTCTAACCAAACCTGATCCATTGACACCTATATTATTATCTTTTATCAATGGATCAGATATTGACTCAATCCAGCCCAACCCAATATAAATAAATTCATTATGGATCCCAATATAAATAAATTAATTATGGATGGACCAGGTCCAATCCAATAAATATTTTGAACCATCAAGTCTTGACTGGTTCAATTCAATGCCTTGTTGGTCTGTCCAATCCCATCCGAATTGATTTTGATTTTGGTTTGGATGGGTCCAATCCAAAACCAGTGCATTGACACCCCTACAGCTACAGGCCACAAGTCATATAAATAGGTCTTCCCTTGGCATACATGACCCGAGCTGTTGGGCCTCGAGACCCCTGATTGTAGTGTTAGTCATGTCCCCAAGTAAAATTAGCAGCGGCAGCAGCTGCGCATGTTTATAGGAGAGATGGAGCCCCTAAAAAATGCCAAGACAATACGTGGCAAACAATAAAGAGGTTTGGATATTTATTTGGGGTGCAAGGTTAATGGCAATTGCAATTGTGATGATGTTCCAAAAGCAAAAGGTATATGCATATATTTGTAATGTCATCCTCAGAACAGCTTTCAGTAACCAAGAAAAAAAAATCCCGATACCTTACACAATGGCACAATGCCCTTTTATCATGTTTGTTAGAGAAAGGCGACGGATTCAAAATTTCTCACACAGACTGTTGGATCAAAGCATCGCCTCCATTTCCACATCCGTCCAGAGATGAGGAGACACCGAAGGATGGTGGCTGACTTGGGGTGGATACGATTGAAGAAGTTGAAGGAGCACAGTTTATTGGATGATCAAATTTACAAGCAGGCCCAAACTTGCAAATGCCATAGCGGTTGTAGTGTGTACAGATGCTCTGGTCCTGGAATGGCAAGTGAAATAGTGTTCAGAAACAGAAAATATACCTACGCAAGCAGGTCAGGTGATAATTTTAATGGGCTTTTTTATTACCAATAAAAATTGAAAACCATGCACACAAATACGTTATGGAAAGGACAGCAGCACATGACAATGCTTTGAGAGTAATATAACTTACAGGTCTCAATGGCAGGCCCATGGGACTAAGAGTGCAAACTGATGATTTGGGGGCTCGATTCTTCGGATGGTGGTACTTACATGCTGACCTATATTTACAGTCCCCAGTTTTCATAAAATAACTACACTCAGGTTGTCCAGGTCTCTCAGGGAATTCTTCACCATGCGTCTGCTGTTGTGTGGTAGGATTGACCATCTTTGTTGGATTATTCAGGATCATGGCTGATGGAGGATGTATACACCTTTCTGGTGGATATACTGGGGCCTAAATAATAAATAAATGTCATTATAGGAAAAACTGGCAGGGGAAATATTCATAATCCATAAAATGAACTTTGGAAAATTGATGAAATAACTAAAACTAGTACTGAAAAAACCTACTTTTCTTGCTCCCTGAAGCAATAGATATCTATTTAAACAAATGCAAAGCACTGTCAAAATGAAATCGGTTTTGATCAAAATATTCAAGAAATAACATAAGATTGAAAAACCCCCCATTAACATTCCTATCCAATTAAACATTACAAGTCATTATTTTACTAATAACTACAAGGCTCTGAAGTCTGAATTTGTCCAACAACGTTATGCTTCTTGTATTAAAAAAAAAATGAAGAGAAAACAAAACATCTGTTTCATGTCACCTGAAGCAAAAACCAATTAAGGTGGGAAGAGCAGTCACCATAACTTTGAATGGAACACAAAAACACAAATGACAAAGGAAGATGAACAGCAAAAGATGCACTGAACCAAACAACACAGATCTGATCCAAACATAAGTGTCAGGGCAGAAACACACAAGACAGAACCGTGGAAATGCCTTCCAACGATAGGGGACAAGAAAACCACAATTTTCCAAAAAACAAAACAAGATTCTAAATTTTGAAATACACATGAAAAATGCAATTTCATCGATAAAACATAGTTACCTGATACCCATTCCACTCAGAATTTGCATGAACTCCTCGAGGTGGTGGGAGCACCACTGGTACATAGGGTGTGGAGGCCTCCATATAAGGAACAGAATCATTTGAGGTTCTAGGTGAAGACCAGGATGTTAATGCTGGTTGTGATGCACCTGATGAATGCAATGAGACAGATCCACTTCTATTGTAACCAGAAAGAGGATCACTCCCTCCCACAGCAGTAGGATCAGGATGATGAAACCTGCAGTTAGTTGCATACTTGCAGGAACCAGTACGCATATAATACGGGCACTCTTTCTCTCCCTGTAGGAAAAAGAAATATCTTCATTAGACATATTTATCTTGTATATATTATGCACTAGTGCAAGCAACTGATTTGCAACCACAGCTGTGGGTAATTTGAATTATCGAGAGTGAAGACTGGGAGAATATACCCAAACATCTTCTACTTCCATGAATGGGCATCTCCCTACTAAACCCATAAACGATGTATATAGAAAAAAACATCTTTGGAGTGAAACATAATTGTCTGAATTATAATACATGCAATTTTGCATTTTGCAGAAATCATTAGTCTCTTAGTTGCCTGCAATGCTTAAAAATATTAATTACCAAAAACTAAGAATATTAAAAGCATAAAAATAGAAGTATTACCGGACGGATTGGCAAGCCCAAGAAGTTTAGCTCTAGAGGAGATCCTACTACACTTTTTTCTCGAGGATGACTGTATCTACAAGCTTTCCCAAACTTACACCCTCCTGTCCTCAAGTAATACTGCAACAAATAGCAGAACAATAAATATGCCAAGTTTTATTACTGAACATATGAATCATGGAAAATTGCCTTTATAGAACAAATTAATAATGGGGTTTACAAAAATATCAATCATAGATCCTTGCTAGAAATACCAAGGAAAAACTACAAAATCATTCCTGCTTAAGAAAGAGAAAGGGGTACAAGTTAAAGAATGTAATAAATAGAACCATAAGTAGTTTTTATATCTTTGAGTACATAGAAATGATATATGTCATGGATCCCACGAGCCATGCCATTGTTGCTCTAACAAACATACCATGGTAAATTAAATATGAAGAGGATTCAGTTAACGGAGCAACAAAGCACTCAAGAAAATAAACTTAGGACTACAATCTAGGTTCCCCTGTTTTATCAAAAAAACACTAGGATTGCTGTTTTCATTAAAAAAACGTCATTAGATGAGATAAATAAATTTAGGACTAGGAACTAAGCTTCACTGATTAAAGCATGCCAAGCCCCTCAGAAATTGTTGTTTTTTTATCAGCATCCTTAGGAAATTATTGACACTACATATAAGAACCACTTAGATGAGATAAATATTCGAACGAAAGAACCCGTGCAATACAAATGTCAAATTGCTTATATTTTTAGAAACAGCAGGTAAATAATATCAAATAAGTGTAAGATGTACCAAAACGGCAAAAACGAAACCGCCAAAATACGAGCTTTAAAACTACTAACCTTGCATTCTGTCTGCCCAGTCTTTTCTGGAGATCCTTCATTTTCCTTTTCCCTTTCCTTAGAAACCTTGAAAGAGCAAAATCATTTACAGAAACTACAAAAAATTTAACATACGCAAAAGAGTAAAAGTCAACAGTATAATGAAATAACCAGAGACGAATACTCGCAAGCAGGAGTGATCAAATTACTCATAGACTACAACCCAATAAACATTTTCCTTGTCACAGCAATCCCCTTGGCGGTGAGAATAAAACCATCTCAGTGCATCTTACCACTACTTTACCAAACTCATTGCGTAGTGTCTCCATGAAATTTCGTCTACAGATAATACAAAAACTAAATAAACAAAGAGCTTATAAAAGCTAATAAAATCAAACCTGAACTGATTCCGGCGGATCCGATGACCCTGATGCCTGCGACAAGTAGTTTAATTGCATCAATTAAGCATCATAAAAAAATATGTTCGGAAAAGGAAAGGACGAAAAAGAACCTTTAACAATCTCACCAAGACAAGTAGGCGAAGTTAGAAGATAATAAGAAGGGAAAGGTGCAAAACCGATAAAAATACCTGATTTTTCCATCTGATAGGGTGATTAAATCTACAGTTTGATCCATAGCGACATGTCCCGGTCCGAAGATAATAAGAGCAATCTGGTTCGTCGGATCTCTGGGGATACTGAAAAGTATTGATTTTTTCCTCTTTGACATCGGAATCGCCCCCGACATTCTCATTATCTTCATTGTTATTGTCAGTGTTAGTGTTTTCCTCCAAGGCTAAATTCTGAAACTCTCCTTCTAGGGTTTCGACAGCGACAGTGTTACTGAGGACATCATCAGGAACACATGAAGACGATGGAGATGAAGGCGAGGAGGAAAGCAACCCTAGAGGCGATTCCTCAGTCTTCAACACTGAAACTTCTTCATTATCTCCCATTATCCCTCCACATTTCAAACCCTAATCAGCTTGGGAAAGAGGTAGGGAGTGAAAAAGCGTGTTATGAGAGAGAGAGAGAGTCCAAAGGAATTGAGTATCTCTTTCGCTAGGTATGTGCCTATATACGTCGTCATAACTCATAATGGTTGGTTGACGAAGAGTACGTGTGTATGTGCCTATATTACTAGCTCGAATCTGCTGACCACCACATACTTTGCTCGGCACATTCATCCAGCCGCACATTGAGAACATCGATTGTACTTTACATTGCCGTTATTCCCGATGTGCGGTAGGATGAAATAGCCAGCAAGGCTAGCGACCAGCAGATCCGGACTCCTTGTATACATGTACGCATATACGCGAGTCGTGAGGTGCATATCTCAATCTTACGGTTGGTATTGGAAGAAAAGAAAGATTTGTCTCCGTTCTCCGACCCTTTCCATGTCAGACAGCCAGTACCCAAGACCATACGAGTTGGTTGGTGGGTGTGGGTCGTGGGTAAGGTACTTGTGGTCCAATCCAATACTGCCCACCACTTTACGACCCAATTTACCCAAAACAACTCACTCCGCCTGTGGATTTTTTACTCATATGCTAAGGCTGTGTTTGGCTGTTGTGCAATTTTATTTGTACTAATATAAATGCATACGAGTGCAAATGTAAAAAATGCAAATTCTTGTTTAATTTTGTTTTGGATTTTACTTTATTCTGCTTCATGTCTTAATTTACTTCATTTGTACTGCAATCAAATAAAATAAACTAAAATTTGAAACAAAAATAGGTCAAAATTTACACTTAATCATTTGCACTCCCACGGTTTTGTACCAATGCAAATTTATTTGCATTGCAACCAAACACAGCCTAAGGATCGAGGTTTTTAAAACCGACCCGGTGACCGAACCAGTCAACGGTCTGACTATTTGAACCGAATGCTCAACCCATTTTGACAAAAAAATAAATAAAATAAAATAAATTCAAAAAAGTAAAAAACGGTCAAAACCATTTGAATGGTTAACTGCTCGGTTTAATGGTTCGCTGACCAAAATCAACGGTTTTGGGGGGAAGTTTGGTTTTTGGGGAAAACAGAACTAGTCAAATGATCGGTTCCTGGTTTTTTTGGTCCGACCGTCCGATCCGGTCCGACCAGGTTTTGAAAACCATGCTAAGGATCAAAGAAATATAATAAACCAAATAATGTTATATTGTTCTTATGACAAAAAAGGAAATATGGCAGTGTAATGTTGTCTCGTTCTTTTGATAGGACCATATTTATCCAAGTAGGGTTATAAATGGATCAGATCCACTACATCCGAATCAGGTCCGAAAGCTTGCATATAAATTGAATCTAAAACTTGATCAGATTTGAAAACTTCGGATTCAAATTTTAATCCTAATAGATTCAGGTCAGATTTTCAAATTTCAAGTTTTGTATATAATGAAATGAATTAATGTAAATATAACATACTAAGTTTATTATAATATATATATATATATACATAATATAACATATAAAAATATATATCTTAAATTTTAAATATAATTATATAAATTTATTTATATATTAAAATCAAATAAATTAAATTTTAATTGAATCAAATGGAGTCAAATCCAAATTTGATCCAATTATATAAATACATCATTCGAATTTGAGATAATTGGATCGGATGTTGGATTCGACCGCAGAGTTTCAGGTATCATGACAAGTCTATAGCTATACCTAGATATGCATTTATTTATGTTCTTTTATAAGAAGCATTTTTCCTCTATTAAGACTTTTACTCTTTATGTTTTGTTTGTTGACAAAGGCATTTTAATCGTACAATTGGATAATTTGTCTTTATGGGAAAGTGATTTGCCCACTTAGAAAATTTACAATTATCTAAAAAATGGTTTAAAAATTTACAAAAGAGTATTTTCTATAAACCCTATAATTTTGTAGGAAAGAATGTAAGGAAAATAACGTAAATTAACTCTCCCCAGCCCCCTCCCTTTGTTCCCAACAAAAGGACAAGACCTAAATGTAAAGTGGGTTGTATAGAGCACAAGACAAAAACGAATGATTCACGAAAGCACATTAGGCTCAGTTTGGAAGCAGTACAAAGGCTCAGTTTGGAAGGAGTACAAATGCAAATAGGTAGAGTGCAAAGCCTTATATTTTGTATATATTTGCACTGTACATATTTGCATTTGTATTCCTTCCAAACTGAGCCTTATAGTAAAATTTTGGTGGGGGACACACATGCCGTGTGTTTAATAAAATGGAACCCAAAAATGATATCGATGTGTGGTGTGATTCGCTTTTAAGAACAAAAGATGAGAATTCCGCGAGATACATATATACAGTTATAGTTGGGAACCGGGAACTTGGGATGCTTCAAGCCAACAAGCTTTCATTTCAGCAATCAACACTGATAACTTGAATCTGAATGGGTGGGTCGTGGGTGGCAACCACAAACTTGGCAAGCTTTCACTTTCAGCACTGTTCGTGAACCTCAATTGCAGACTAGTTGCAAACTTGCAATTCCACCCAATCAGATGAACGATTATCCGACCGAATCATCTTCGTGTGCACGTATTCCATTCCATCTTCCATTTTTCATTAGAAATCTTCCGACTACGGAGGAAGTGACCTGAGCAGTGACCATCCCAAGAGTCCCAACTCCCAACCCATTTCATCATTTGGAATATATCTGTTTTGGATGGAAATAATTTATCTGGTTTAAGTAAATTAACGGGCCCAATGAAGACCCCACAAAACAGATTCAGAGTGTCATCCACTCATCTTTGAGGAAAGAAAAAAGAGGGGCAGAAAATACAAAAAAAATTACAGAGAATCCTTGATTGATTCCAACTCTAACCATCTATCTATCTCTACCCCTGTCAATGGAATGGAACAACAGTATTAATCAGCCAATGTTATGTTACAGCCCTTTGTGTTCCTCAGGTTCTCCTATACCTTACCCTTCTTTACCGAGTGGCCAGTCTTCCGCTTGTGACGGCTAAAATCTGACACAAACCGAAATGTTTGACCACAGCCTGGTTCATGGCAAACGTAAGGCCGGGCACCAGTGTGCACTCTTATGTGCTCAGTCCGTGCCCATGCCCACTTGAACGTCATCTTACACCCCTTCCATGGGCATTTCAGGGGGCGGTCATCCATGTGGACACGCCTGTGCTGCACCAGATACTTGTGGGAGAAGAATTTCTTCCCACAACCTTTTACCGAGCAGATGTTGCGCTTGTGCAACACCAGCTCTTGCTTTGAGCTAAAACCCATTGTGCATCCCTCCATATCACACTGGTATTCTGCTTCCTCATCTTTCATATCTATTTCATTATTACTTGGAGCTTTCTTGGCTTTTTTCTTCTTTGTTTGCTTCTCATGCATCATCTCCTTCACTTCTCTAGAGGGCTTCTTCGGTGGTCTCTTTCTTAGGCGTGTGCTGGGTCCACCTTCAAGGTCATCCTTCTCATATGAATCCTCCCATCTGATGTTATTTTCACAATCATTACGATGCCGTATGGTCTCTTGTCTCATCTGTCCACTTCTGACTGTTCTGAGATTCTTCACACCAGACGGTGTATCAGGTTCAGGTGGCTCATCTACAGTTGCTTTATGGTTCTCTCTTTGCAGACATTTCTGTTTCTTGATTGCTCCCTTCTCAAATCTTTTCCTCTTCCGTCCAGACTTTTTGGCTACCATAGTGTTTATTCCACCTGAGGATTTCTTCTCTGAAAAATCCGGTTTTTCCTGGCAGTTAATGTCTAGTTTCCTCTCTGGCTTTTCTTTTGGCATTGCTCCTGTGGAATAGCTTTTTGCAAGTTCTTCTTCATAGTCATCTATTTGACCTAAAAAGGGATGAACCTGGTTCGACATCCAGACCTTCCCACACCATCTGCCCGCAACAAGTATCTTCTTCTGCTTGCCAGGCCTCTTCCCAGAAACCTTTGGTTTTGTTGGAGAGTTGACTGGAGAACTCCGTCCAAATGCCTTGTATATGACTGAATTGTATGGCATCTGTTTGCTGTAGAAAGGAGTGTAGCTGAGAATGGCACTGTAATACAGATTGATTCCTAACTTGGCAGCCCAGTCCCCATTAGTGGGAATAACTTCATCATCATCAAGGGCCAAACGGATTCTCTGCTGATCTTCTTCAGTGGCCTCCCTGAATGGAACATCCTTCCATATATAATCAATTCCCATTTCTTCTGCTAACAATTTTGCTTCTGCTTCTACCTTCAGATACTCTGCAAGGTGAAAAAGGAAAGAAAAATGAATGCTTGCACTTTTTATTTTTCCTTTCTTTTTCTGAAAAGACTGTTCTCAGTAAAATAATTAAAATAAAACGACAATCATACGCAGCAGTGATATGTTTTACTGCTCATGCCCACTGAATTTTGGGAAAGCTTTTTATCTGAAGCTAAAAAGAATAACCAAGCTGTCAGAATTTTAGTCAAATTTATGATTGGACAGTGAGTACAGTGATGGAAGTACAAGGCAGTTATGGAAGCATCAATACATTAGACTATGAGTTGATCAACAGTTCAAACAGTAAATCTTATTATAAACAGAAAACCTTTGTTTCCACACCATAATGTTCCATAACAAGGAGATTGTCTGTAGATCAGAGGATAATATTCCCTGAGCAAACAGTGTAATATTAATAACAAAATCAGCACCATATTGTGAATCAGCAATCATCCCAATGTCTCTGGATAAATACAAGTATCCTCTCAATGAAATGGGATCAGTCCCCTCATTATAATTAACCATTGTCGTCATAACCATCATTATTATGGGGTTGGCTACATGAACTTGTTTCGCTATTCCGTTCTGTTCAGTGTCATATCTATCATCAAGTCATAGGTGCTTAAACCATTTCTTACTGCTTCCACCCAGGTCCTTTTTGTCTGCCCCGAGCTCTTCTAGACCCTTCCACTAGTAACAGATCACTTTTTCTAACTGGTGCTGTAGATGGTTCTTCTTTGTACTTGACCAAACCACCTCACTCTACTTTCTCTCACTGTATCACCTATTAGAGCTACTGCTAGGTTCTTTCCTATGATTTCATTTCTGAACCTATCCATCTAATAAATATATAATATTTTATTTTCATAAAATACATAAACCATTACATTATTTTCATACAAATGGAAAATATACTATATACTTAACATATATTGCTAGTTTGATTTAATACAACATGGAGGACTTTTCATGCGTCAAATTCAAACCATAACTCACCTGGATGACACAGAAGTAAAACATGCACTCCACCTATGGGATGAAGTTGCTTTTCAACTTCCACAGCATGCTCAAGACAGAATATATGCAATCGAGAAGAATCACTATCAGGCCTTTGCATCAGTGAACTGGCTTTGCCCTTTACCGATTTATCAGCATCACTGAACTCAGCTCTTTCAGCCAAATTAGCAAGAGGGAGACAGTTTGAGATAGCATTTGAGGAAGTAGAAGGCCTATATTGAGGACCGGACTCTGAATTCTCCAACTTTCCATCTCTGTAACAAGTTTCAACAGATCTACTTACAACCCTCCTAGAAAGTGCAAGTGGATCCCTGTATGTATCATCTGAATTGTTCGATTCCAAGGTCACTAAATTCTCTCTGTCACTCTCAAGTGGGATATCAATACTTTGTTGATTATTCATGAAAGTAGCACTTGGTCGTCCAGGAGTCCTTTCTGAAGCATAATCTTGAACAGAAACTTCATTCACATAACTTACTGTATTGCTGGTTGCTTCATCCTTGTGGTTTGGCTCAGGCAAAAGAGGTGATTTATGTTTAGATGGGGGGTCTGATTGTGCAGATCCAAGTTCTCCTGAAGAGTCTCTAAAATCATTTTCGTCAGAAAACACAGGTTTCTCAGTTTTGTCCTGATCATCTTCAGAGTCTGATGAGTCATAGGCAACTGCTAATAGATCGAGGGAGGAAATGCCTTTCTGAGCTTCAGCATCTGCAGCAACTTTACTACTTCCACCTGCCACTTCAAATTGGTAATCACCAGACTGGACTGGGACATCATACAGACCACCCTTCCCCATTTGTCCTGTGTATGAAAAAGTAGGTATGGAATTAATATCTGCACCAAGGTAAACATAAAATGAATCATAGGCAAAACTAAGACAAAAAGCAACCGTTGCAAGATAGAAAACAGCACTGTTTCCAGGTATAATTCAGTTGTTTGAACAAATGGATAGGAGGATCTTTGAAAGTGTAGGTAGATGCATGCCTGTGATGCATTGAAATCGCATCAATGCCTTTAAATCAATTGATTCTTCTGAACACCACCCAACTTTTACATTCTTTAGTATCACATGCAAATCCATGAAAGCATAATTTGTTCAAAAAGAGATTAGGAACTTTTCATACCTAAAGCCCGCAATTTTCTTGTCAACTAGCCTAGCTTCTTTCCAGGTTAATTTTTCTTTTTCAATTGATTCCAAGTAGCTTAATATGGTTTTTTTTTTTTAGGCTGTACAACCATTTAGGTTTTTCTTTTTCAAAATAAATGCATATCTGTGTAGTATGTAAAAGGTAATTTGTAATCATCAACAGTTCTCTCCCTTTCAGCAATACAATTATTTTACTTACCTTTCAAAAAAAATGGTAATTTGTTGAGGATTATATAATAAAAAAAGGGTTCTAGTACACTAAACTAATACTGGCTGGTAACCAAAAAAATCTAGAAAGTCCACTACATAATTTGAAGGTATTTGAAGAGGAATATAACAAGTTAAAAAGAGCATTATTGAAATGTTTTCAACATAAGATTTTTTTATTTTATCTATAGTGGCTACAGCCAGGGGCCATTACTTGGTGTAAATGTGTAATGATAAAATCTTCAACTGGCAAGCATGAGAGGGCAGGTTCAAGTCTGAGAGCAGCCATTTTGTGCCCAAAAAGAATGCCAAATGCTAGGACTGTATCCAAACTACCCCTCTCAAGGCCCCAGATAGCCGGGACCAACATTGGGTAATGGCCTATTGTGGCTACAACCATCTACATAGATCAAGGGCTAGGATAGTCTGAAGCTAAGATTTAGTATTTTTATTAAAAAAAATTGAAAAGCAGCCATACACTTCTTTAAGGATGAGAGAATATCTAATTCTTTTTTAATAAAAATCTCTGATCAATTACCAATTAAAAAAAGGGTGGGAGGATACAGATAAGTTGTTTATTTGCCTTATCCAACAAATATTGTCAAATTTCTTTTGCTAACTCTCTTTTGCACAGATACATTTGACACTTGCTACTGATCTGGATGGAGGACTTCATGAAAGAAGAAAATAAAATTAATGTTGTAAAAGAAAATATCCCCCTTTATTATTTCGATACTACCCATAAGGATGAGATTGGAAGTGAGAGAAGTGGGATCAACACATCGTCAACCCAAGATGATGATGGAAACGGATTACCTACTGATGAAACACATCTAGTAGTAAAGGTGATTCAAAACTGGTAGTGGAATGGCTGCAAAAGGAAGAAACTGGATTCTGGAATTTCAATAGTGAAAGGAAGATATTCAAGTAGCTGACACAAAATATGGATGTGAGACTTGGTTGGGTTAAAAGAACTGCTAATGCTTTTGCTGATGTTCTGGAAAAACAAGGGGTGGGAAGAAGTCAACTGTTTCTTTTTTTTTTTTTTGATAAATAAGAAGTCAACTGTTTTGGGCTCAATTGTAACTTTTAAATTTTTCTTGAGGAGAGTTAAGAAAGTTAACCCCTCCACTTTCTTGTATCTTTTCTCCCTTTTTAATCATTAATGAATTTTGTTGTTATTGATAAAAACACATGTAGTAAACAAAATAAAAAAAGATTGTAGAGAAAGGGATTCAAATTGGTAAGAAGTTGAGATTACTTTTTCTAGGAGGTAATGGCTTGCAAGAAAAGTTTTCATGGAACCTGAAGATCAAGAAAGAGATAGAGGTCAAGTTAATCAGACCACATGGGTTTGGTTTATATGAGCTAATGTTTGAGGATCTAGGAATGTGGAGATTTGATTGTCTTAGGGTCAGTTATTTGGTGATGACTTGGTGGAGTGCGTTTAAGTGGGTAGGAGAGTTAAGTAGATCAGGGGTGTTTGAGCCTTTGAAGTGAATGATAAGTAGCACATTCCTAATTCCATGTGTAAGAGCACAGAGTTGCAAACCGCCATAGACCCGGTTAAGTCTACTTGGTTTTGTCTTGTCTAATAATCAACCAGGAATTTGTGCATATGGTCTAATAATCCACTCCCCCCCTCCCCCTTCTCTTTTTCCCTAGATTCTTTCTCAAACCTTTTTCCCTCAGATTTCAGATCACCAACTCACATGGAACTATGACAGCCTGATCCCTCACCGTAGGGTATGTAGTGCAGTCCTCCAGGGGTCCGACCCTCAACCTTTGGATACAACTAATCATCACCAAACCCATTGACTTTACATGACTAATGTAAATACTGTGGATTTAGTACTTTTGGTCAACTCCGAAAATTTGATGGAAATAGGATGAATTGAGAAAGCCAATCAATGGCTAGACCCCCAAAGGGGCTGCACTACATACCCTCCAGGTATGAGAGACAGACAGAAAAATTGAGAATCAATAGAGGATTAACAAGGATGTCTCCTTGGAAAGCTATTAGCAAAGTCCTACCTAAATTCCTTCAATTTTTATCAGGTATGATATTTGCTCAGGTAATTTAGTTAAATTTTGGGAACATACCTAGGTAGGTTCTATTCCTCTGAAGGATCGGTTTCCATCTCTGTTTGCTCTTTCATCCCTAGAAGGGGAGCCTATATCAAAATTTGTTTTCCCTTCACCTTCAAGTAATGGATTTGGTTGGGATTTGGGTTTCAGATGAGGACTAAGAGACTCTAACCTTCATCTGTCACTAGATCTTTTAAACACCCTTAATGATGTTTCTTGGATACTCTAAAACCTGATAACTGAATTTGGACCCCAACTCCTTCAGGATCCTTCTCGTGTGCCTCCTTTTTCAACACCCTAGCTTCTCCTTTGACCCCTCTACAACATTTTCCAGTAAAGAGATTTAGGCTAAACCAACCCCACCCAGAATAGGAGCCTTTGATTGGGAGGTTTATCATGAGAAAATTAACACTTGTGACTTGCTACAGAAAAGGAGACCTCACTTATGCTTATCTCCTCATTGGTGTGTCCTTTAAAAGGCCAATGGTGAATCATGCTTTCATTTACTAATATCTTGTCCTTTTTTTATCAATAACTAATATCTTGTCCTTTCGCTACTGCCATTTGGGAGTGGTTTCTTACTTTGTTTGGTTGCAGATGGTTTCCCCCTTCTAACATGTCAAGCCTTCATGTTTCCACTCTATTTGGACTATTGGAGGAAAGAAATGCAAGAATTTCCCATGAGAAAGAAAGTAGGCCTTATAGAATGCATATTCATTAGAGTTGTATATTGGCTAAAGACTTTAAGAGCTATTTTCTGATTTTTCGATGGATGACTTCCATAGAAAATGGCTGGCTAGCTCCTCAATGGTGACAGAGTTATCATCATGGACACCACCAGATGAGGGTTTCATAAAGTTAAATTTTGATGGTAGTAGTAGGGGGAACCCTGGACCTTCAGGTATAGGAGGCATCTTCAGAAATGAGCTAGGTCATGCGGTGGCACTCTTCTCAGGCCTAATTGGCACTGGAGACTCTTTTAAGGCTAGACGTCTGGGCAGTTGTGGAAGGGTAGTCAAAGCAAAGGAATTAGGCGTGCAAAAGCTGATTACAGAATGCAACTCTCAAGCGGTGATCAAGTGGTTACAAAATTATGGGAATGATTTCTAGTTGCATCGAAATGAACTAAAGAAGATAAGATGGTTATCTAGGAAAATGGATGTGAGAAACCATTGGGTCCAAAGGATGGCTAACAGTATGGCTGATGCTTTGGCAAATCAAGGAACTGGAAGATCTCTTTTGTTTTAGGCTCTTTTGTAATTCTTGATCTTGGAGATAAGCTGTTTTATCTCCAAGTGTATTGTATTCCTCTATCTTTCTTTAATTAATGAAAGTTTCAGTTATTGATAAAAAAGGAGTCAATAGAGGATTACCCCATTAATTTCTAAATATTTATTATTTATACTTTCTACTCATTAAATGAAGTGTTTATGCAACTTTCCATGCCTCATCAACTAAAGTGGAGAGTTGTCAGCCACTTAACTTATTCTTACGACTTGCTCCAAATTGCTGCTTGGTGTCCCAAGTTGGCAATTGTTTGAGACTGAATGGACTTGGTATGGGTCAAACCAGGTCGATGGTGATTTGCAAGTCTATGCTCTTACATCATGAATTTTCCAGGGAAAAATACTGTTAATTTCAAGGATCAATTTCGCAATGTATTGGCCCGTATCAGCTGAAATGTATCTGAACGCTATTGTAGGGAACTAGGGATGGTTTCGGAGTTTGACCTGTTTCAGGGGGTAGCCAGGCCTTATACTGACCCCGTGAACATGTTTGGAAAAAAAAACTAAAAAATAAAAATTATAAAGTGCCTACCGATGGCATATCAGTCTGTATCGATATATAGAACCTTGACAGTTTTGTTCTTTTGACATCTAAGGTCCTCCATACATTTGTACTAGATGGTTAACATAACATCTACCAACAGAAAAGGACACAGATACAAGTGATTATGAGATGCACATGATAAGTAATAGAAGACATGTGCGTATGTGTGAGAGAGAGAGAGGGAGACAGAGAGAGAGAGAGAGAGATTTGCAACAGGATAAAGCGGAGGGTCAAGATCACATGCATTCAAGAAGTTGGAAGTCAAAAGAACAGCACAAAAGTTTCTGTGAATTTAACATCTAAATGATCAGACCTACATCTAACCACTGATTCAGCAAGAAAATCATGCACAATCAATTGTGACTTGGAAAAGACGTATTGATGTCATTGCAATGATATAATTCTAAATAATCAGAAGATGATTCATGCACACCCCTCATTTTTATAAAGAGGGGCACATTGTTAAATCTTGGTCAAGAAACATAAGTTTTAAAAAGACAAAAGCACTCCTTTTTTTTTTGAGAAAAGGTAAAGTATATTTGTATTAATAAAAGGTCCTGCGTACAATGAGTAGCTGTACAAAAAAGCACTCCTAAATCAGTACCTAATATTTAACATAATTAAAAAACTTGAAAACATTTAGTCACAGACAGCCATCCTATGCCTTGAAAGCTTCCTTCCTTGCCTAAAAATGAAAAAGAGCCTAGTATCTGAGAATGTACAGATGAATCTCAAGAAAAATATTAAACAGAAATGTAACTTATAGAAGAATAAGAAAGAAAGACATCATGTAACTTGTCCCAACTCCCAACTATATAGGGTCAGCTATGGACAGATACCTGACTAAGCATGGTAATTACAATAATAAAGAAAATCTGCTGACAACAGAAAGAAATGACCCATATAGCAAGTTCATATTAACATCTCATGGTCAACCCAATGTCATGTGAATAGCATATCTAAATAACAACAAACTTCTAGATAATAATTAACAACATGTCTAGTTTTGTCACTATAGTAATGTGCTAGAAATTAATGCAAAAGTCCAGAAAATAGACAACCTTTGCATCCATTAGTACCATAAACACAAATAGGCTAAGGCCTTTAATTGCAATGAAAGAAACCATCATTGCACATAAAAGACCTTGGAAAAGAAGAAGATTGGGAACTTGCTTACGGCATAGGTTAACCACTGATGCATTCATCAGATGCATGATATTATGGAGAACGATCATCAATCACAGCCTACCTGAACAGGAATTCAACCCAGTCATACTTGCATCTCCAACTGAAACAGTATATCTATCACTAGTTACTTCAGAACCAACAATCCAATCATTAAAGACGCTACAATCAGTTGACATGAGGTACTGAGCAGCCGCCTCTCTAGGCTGAATGATAGCTGTACATGCAAAGGTCAAAATCCCACATGTCACACATGAAAATAGCCCCTGGTCTACTAATCCATCACCTTTCACATTACTTTCTCTTTCAGTATCTGTGCTCTGCTTTTCTGTAGTGGAACTGCAAAGATCATCATTCCCACATAATGCATGAAGGCTTTTCTGTCCATAGACAGACGAAGATTTTCCTTTCACTGAATAGAAACCACTCAAATGCCTTAGATGTGCATTTCTTTCTCGCATGGCATCCTCTGAAAGTAAATCTTTCGAAGCTTCCATTGTTTCATCAGGACTACACAAGCTAAGTGGCAATCGGGGTTTTACCTTTTTCTGGGAACCAACACGCAAATTTGAGCATACAGACATATCTGAAGAATGTGGAAGAAGTACACATGAGGAACCTTTCTCCAGAAGAATATGAAGAAGGTCATTATTATGCATGATATTTTGCACAAATAGCTCTTTAACCATAGCATCCCCTTCACCCCTCTTCTTATCTTTTAGTCTAGAGCTCCGAGGTTCAGTACCAATGCTTGTAGGTATGCTGAAAACATCAAAACCAGGTACAGATTAAAATAATTAGAAGATCATCTGCAAGCTACTTTGTATTTCTTGAGAAACTTATTCAGATTAGGGATTTTATTCCTTCAAAAGTTGAGTAAACAAGGCTCAAGAAGTATGATGACATGCAGAAAACCACTATTCAACAGGGTTCGCGTTTCTAAGAGAAGGGTTCTAATCTTACCAGGAGGGGGGAGTGGAAATGAATATACAAACATATATGTGCCAATAAGGGGATTTTCTTGTATCTATTCATTATTTTAATGGAATTGATGTTATTTATCAAAAAAAAACATATATGTGCCAATAAAAGAAGCGAAAAGTGGAGGTCAGAAGAACCAAGTTCTGTCAGAATATAATTTTATTGAATGGGCATAAATGATGATAAAAGTTGTTTTTTAGATCCATGAAAACAAACAAATTCGTTAGGGTGTGTACTGAGTCCGTTGTTGTGTTCACCTTTCAGATGGTTCCAGAACAAGAAATCCTGTTTCAAGCATTCAGTGATTGGTGGTTCTACAACCAGCAATCCATGGTTCCAGAACCAGGAAAAAAACTCTTTTTTTAACACACTAATTTATAGTGTTCTAACCCAGAAAACATGGTTCATTGAAGTAAGCATGACATGGCAGTCATATGGTGTACCTCATGCACCAATAAAGCTCCAATCTTTTTTTTATTGGAAACGGTAACTTCATTAATACAACTTAAGCATAACTCTCCAGAGTTAAGTACAGCTGTCAACCCCTAAAAAGGTGTTGAGACCCCAGTAATCTTTCTTACAAAACTTCCCAGAACATTCTCTCCCTAACAGTCCCTTGTTTAGCTGATCTTCTTGTCCATTTGAGCCCCAGTAATCTCTCTGTCTCTCTCTCTTTTTGGCTCAATAATGACCATATGATATGACCAAAAGTAAGTGGTGAACATGTGTGTACATTAGGCATACAATCAATACTCACATATTATAGTTCAGAAAATGAACCACAAACAGAACAGCCTCTTTTGTACTGTCTGGTTCAGAGATGTTTTATTCAATTTGTTTAGGTCCATCATTTAGTTAAATCAACAGCATGAAATTGCTGTTAAGATAGATTACTTACACATGGCAGCTGAAAGGGCAGGATCAAAGGGTCCATAAGCCCAACCACTTCAACCCTTCTTCACCTGTCTCAGCTCAAGGACATTGTCAACTTTCCATATGCAGAGCACCTTCTCTCAGGTTTTTCTTTACTGTTCACAAATTTTAGAAACAAAAACCATGAGCTACTTTCACATTGGCAAACACAATGGCCAATGCAGAATATTGGACAAGAGAACTGTTAACAATGAACTTCTCTGTAGTGAGAATGGGCTGAATGGGCCTTAGTGTTCTTTATTTCTTTTAAGTAGTATCTAAAAGTTATGTTTCTTAGTTATGGGCCTTATGGGCCTTTTTTTTATGAATGAAGATAATTTTATTAAGCCAGAAAATTAAGGCATTACAGGAAACCCATGAAGAGCATGAGCTCTTACCTCTTCTAACAGAGTATTACATCAAGTTAAAAACAGGAATTAACAGAAATAAAATTACAGTGCAGCCCAAAATAAATGTTCCCTTGAAGCCCCTTGGTTAGCTAACCCATCCGCTAAGGTATTTTCTGATCTTCCCACCCAAAGAGAGGTAACAGTCATGCTTCTTGTGAGCCAATTGACTTCCTCAATAAGTCTCTGTGTCGCCACATTGCTGAAGCCGGATCTGTCAGCCATCCCACAACAATTTTGGAGCCTCCTTCAATTGCCAAATTCTGAACTCCTAATTGTTCTGCAATCTGAATACCTTGTACAGCCACTAAAATCAGCTCTATTAGAGTCTCCCATTCCCACGGGGCCTGAAAACAAGGCTAAGATGTTGCTGTCCTTATCTCTCAGCACCCCTCCTATCCCCGATGGGCCTGGATTTCCTTGGCTGCTACCATCAAAATTCAGCTTTGCCCAACCTTCAGGTGGAGGCACCCACACTGCAGATTCCCTGTCCTTCCTCATATGACTATTAGCCACCGCTATCCAGTTTCTCCAAATATCATCAAAAGAAAATGTATGAAAGAATTCCATAGTTCTTATAACCAATGGATGGCCCTAGTGAAGATACAATCCTTTCCTTTTCTTACAATCCTCCACATAGTTTTTCCTTTTTTGTAAGCCACACAAAAAATGAAGGATCGAACAACTGACTCAAGTCTATGGTCAGATTCCACCTGCATCCAAACAAAGCAAAAATCCAACTCCAAATAGCACTAGAAAAGGAGCAAGATACAAGTAAGTGGGAGCAATCCTCACCACTAGCCCTGCAAAGTACACACCAGTTAGGGGAAAACACATGAAAAGCCTTTTCTTCTGCAAGCAGCCCAAGGTATTGATCTTTCTATAAAACACCTCCCAGCAAAAAATAATAATTTTAGGTGGAATAGGTCTAGACCATATCTCCTTGGTTGGAAAACCCAACTGTCTCGAGGAAGAGAAAAGAGCCTTAAAAGAAGCACAAGTGAAGTAACCTTTTGGATGAGGGGACCATAATCTCACATCCAAACTAAGAGGGTCCAAAAAGACATTGCCGAAAAGAGACAACAGATCTGAAACACTACTAAGTTCATCATCCCTCAAGCCTCTCCAAAGACCAAAGTCCCAACTTAAGGATGAGGGTGAGGAAAGAGTTGGGAGAAAACAAGAGATAGCTTTTTTCTTGTAAAGGGAAAGGGAATAGAGAGACGGGAATCGGTCCTTAAGGGCAAAGGTACCTACCCAAGTATCTTCCCAAGATAAAACAGAGTTACCAGAGTTGACATCATACCTAACAAAGTTGAGAAATTGAGGGAGGATATTCTTGATTGCTTTCCACGGAGATGCCAACGTAGCTTGACGCAATACACCCGATCCCATCCATTTTCCAATCTGCCATGTATACTACCTATCACTTCATGCCACAACCTCTCCCTTTCTCTAAGCCACCTCCACAACGATTTTCCTAAGAGAGCTTTATTCTTGAGAGCTAACCTTCCTGGCTTCCTCTTTATTCCTACAAACCATTTCCCAGTTAATTAAATGATCCTTCTTTTCCTCCCCAGGCTCCCAAAGAAAAGTTCTCATTAATCTCTCCAACTTCTTAGCATCCCTAACAAGAATCCTAAAGATAGAGAAAAAATAGACCAGTAGGTTTGCTAGGGTAGCTCTCAATAAAGTCACTCTACCCCCTAGAGAAATGTAGTTCTTTTCCCAAGTAGCTAATCTTTTCTCAAACTTTTCCAAAACTAGGGTCCAAAAACTACATATGTACTGCAAGGGCCAAGAAGAAATGGTACACCCTAAACAATCCGCCACAGACTCAAGAATCCTCTCATTCATATTAACACCTACCACACAACTCTTATCTAGGTTTATCTTCAGATTGGAGACATTCTCAAAGTGTTGTAGCAAGGCTCTAAGATTCCTCACTTCTCGCCTATCACCACCTTCACAAAAGATTATGATGTCATCGGCAAACTGTAGGTGGGTCACACAGACAATGTTCCTTCCTATCCTCCAATCTCTCACTTCCTCTTCGCTATCTACCTTAGAAATTAATCTACTAAAGACATCTGCAACTAAGGAGAAAAGAAAAGAGGAGAGTGGGTCACCTTGTCTAAGGCCTCTACAAACTGGGAAAAAGTCTTTCACCACCCCATTAACCAAGCATGAGTAATGGCAAGAGATAATACAACCCTTTACCTAATTGCACCATCTACCTCCAAATCCACAACACCCAAGGACCTCCAGTAAAAAGCTCCAATCCACAAGATCATAGGCATTTTCTAAATCTAGCTTACATGCAAAACCTTGATTCCCTGACTTTCTCATGTCCTCCACGCACTCATTTGCTATTATGATCCGATCCGTTATTTGCCTTACTTGCACGAAAGCACCTTGTGCTTGACTAATGATGGAGGGTAGTACTACTCAAATTCTCATAGAAAGCACTTTAGCCAGGATTTTATAGATGCTTGTCACCAAACTAATCAGCCTAAAATCCTTAGGGTCCTTTGCATAGTTATCAAGGCGCCGCCTAGGCGACTAGGTGCCCTTAACTGGGCGCCTCACCCAAACGCCTCGACATTTAGCAACTAGGCACCCTTCTAGGCGACTAGGCGCCCGCTTAGGCGACTAAGGGCCCCGCCTAGGCGACAAAAATGACAAGGTGGGCACCTTTTATAATGTCATTTATATTGATATATCTTATTAATGTATGTGTTAATACATTTTATTATATGCTATATATATCAATTATACTATGTTTTAATGTTTTACTATTGAAATTTAAAAGATCAAAGGGTTTTGAGGAGAGAAAAAGAAAGAAAGAAAGAAAGAAAGAAGGAAAGAAAGAAAAGAAAGAGGAAAGAAAGAATAGAATAATAAAGTTCTTTTTTTCTATTCTCTCTCTCTAATTAAATAAAACAAAAACTCCATCCTTGTTTTTTTTTTCTATTTTACTTTATTTGAATATTTATCATATAAAGTTAGTAAACTTCTTAAACTGCTAATTAATATGAACTTGCTCTATTAAATACTTATTATAGTAGTATTATTTTTGAAAATAATGAAATTAATACATGTAAAAGATTTTTATCTTTTAGATGTGATGATTTGCCACATTTTTAGAGGAAATTTAATGCTCTTATTATTTTATTAAAGAGAATTGCTATTTTTTCAATTAACATACATGCTGAATGGTATATAAAACTAGGAAACTAGCCAAAAGTCAGTTTTTTATATTATAAAACTTTTATTGCCTAGGCGACTAGGCGCCCCAATGTCACCCAAAATTGCCTAGACGCCTTGAAAACTATGGTCCTTTGCATCTATCTTCTTTGGTATTAGGGCTAAGACAAATTCCTAAAACACCCTAACAAGGTCTTCTCTAATCACATCCCAACAGTCCAGATAGAAAGCCATGGTGAAACCATCTCAACAAGACCCCCCCCCCCTTTCAACTAATGTTGTGCATCTTTATTCTTCTTGATATAAAAGACTTTTATTAAAAATAAAGAAAAAATGAGATCCCCCTTCCTCTTCATCCTCCACCTAACCCCCCTCCCCTTAAGGAGGCTAACACCTCCTTGTGTTCAGGAGACTTACGCCTCTTGCGTTCTGAACTACGCCTCACGCCTCTAGGTAGTGGAACACCTAGCGTCACACCTCCGCGTTTTAAAACAGACACATTGTGGAAGTTGAAGGAACATTTCTTTTTGTTACCCATGTTCCTGTGAAGTTTTGGGGTGACGTAGTTTTAACAGCTACCTACCTTATTAACTGCAAGCTTTCTCGAGTCTTGGGGTTAAAATCTCCTTTTGCAGTCCTTTTTCTTGTTGTTGAGATTTTCTCTATTCATCTGAGGGTCTTTGGTTGCACTTGTTATGTCCACACTCCCAATTCCAAAAGACACAAGTTTGACCCCAAGGCTCGAAAGTGTATCTTCCTTGGTTATGCCTCCACACAGAAAGGCTATTGTTGTTTTGACCCCATTAGTGGCACCCGATTTGTTCCCATGGATGTCACCTTTGTAGAGTCAGTTCCTTTCTTCAGCCATCCTTCTGAGGGGGAGAGATCTCTCGAGTTGTTCTCTTCATCCCTTCCTTTGCCAACTCCAGTTGAGTCTTCTATCAATCCCTCCATAGTTACCCCCATTCCCGTGGAGGGATCCTCTCCTTTGAGGTCTTCCACTCCTACAGCCCCCCCTCCTCCTACTAGTCCTCCAATTGTTTCAACTTATCCTATTCTCCAGAGGTGGTACCAACAGCAAAGGCTAAGGGAAACACAGGTTGATCCCACACCTCCAGTTGAGTCTCAAACGCTCTCGATTATTGAAGAGAGGATATGTCCATCACCTCCTCCACAAGCACCCTCGTTTCCAGACCTTGACCTACCCATTGCTTTGAGAAAAGGTAAGAGGAAATGTACAACTCATTGTATTTCCAAACACCTTTCCTACAACTTGTTGTCCCCATCCTAGTATGCCTTTCTAGCCTCCATCATTTCCTCTCAATCCATCCCAAAGTCTGTTTCAGAAGCCTTAGCCACACCAGATTGGAGGGATGCTATGAGTACTGAAATAGAAGCCCTTCATAAAAACAATACCTAGGATATTGTTGACTTGCCAGCTAGGAAGGAACCTGTTGGGTGCAAGTGGGTTTTCACTATCAAGTATCGTTCAAATGGGTCAATTGAGAGGTATAAGGCTTGGCTTGTTGCCAAGGGATATACCCAGGTATATGGGATAGATTACACTGAGACCTTTTCTCCAGTTGCTAAGAAGACTTCAGTCAGAGTCCTTTTATCCTTAGTAGTGAGTTATGATTGACCTCTATATCAATTTGATGTTAATAATGCATTCCTTAATGGTAATCTCACTAAAGAGGCATATATGTCCCTTCCTCCTGGTATATATGGCAAGGAAATGCAAGGCAAGGTGTGTAGATTGAAGAAATCACTTTATGGCCTAAAACAGTCTCCACGTGCTTGGTTTGACAAGTTTATGGCTGCTCTTGTTCAGTTCGGCTACACTCAAGCTCAATCAGATCATACCCTCTTTGTTAAGAGAAAATGCACTATAGTGACATTTCTTATAGTTTATGTAGATGATATTGTGGTTACTGACAGTGATACAGAAGAAGTTAGTGCTCTCAATAAGTTTCTCAATTCTGAATTTGAAATTAAAGATTCAAGGGAGTTGCGATATTTTCTGGGCATTGAGGTTGCTAGGTCCAAGGAAGGTATCTTTATTTCTCAACGGAAGTATGTGCTAAACCTTCTTATTGAGACTGAAAAACTTGGTGCTAAACCTGCCTCTATCCCTATTGATGTGAATCATAAACTCTCAGCTAATGATGGAGAACTTTTAGCTGACAGGAGAGTGTTTCAGAGATTACTAGGGAATTTTCTTTATCTATGTATGACTCGTCCAAAGATTTCATATGTTGTGAGTGTCATCAGCCAGTTCATGCATGCTCCCAGAGAGACACATATATGACTGCTGTAGAAAGGGTGTTTTGCTACCTTAAGGGAACCCCCAAGAAGGGTATATTATTTGCTAAACATGGACACATGAAGGTAGGAGCATATACAGATGTTGATTGGGCAGAAAATGTGGATGACAGGAGATCCACATCAGGATATTGTGTTATGGTATCCGGAAATATTGTTTTTTGGAGAAGAAAAAAGCAATCAGTGGTTGTTAGATCTTCAACTGAGGTTGTATTGTGATAATTAAGCTGCTATTAACATTGCTCACAACCTAGTTCAGCATGATAGAACTAAACACATTGAGGTAGACAAACACTTTATACGGGAGAGAGTGGCTTCAGGAAAGGTGTGCCTACCTTTCATTGCATCAGAAGAGAAGCTAGCAGATTTTCTAACTAAGGGAGTCCCAAAGGCAAAGCTTCAACATCATGTAAGCAAGCTAGGCATGATTGACATCTATGCTTGCTTGAGGGGGAGTGTAGTGAGAAAGGGCCTAATGGGCCTTAGTGTTCTTTATTTCTTTTAAGTAGTATTTAAATGTTATGTTTCTTAGTGATAGGCCTTCTTTTGTTTTCTTTAATTATTTCTTTAGTGCTGGCTGCCCCATTAAGGGCATCCAAGTAATTGTACTCAGACTTAGAATTATTAATAAAAGTGATGAAAAGGGGCTAGAGAGAGGTTCGAATTCTTCTTTTCTTCTTCCACAACCTATTGCTGAAACTTCTTTCTTCTTCTTTCTCTTTCTCTCTTTTCTTCTTTTCTTGCTTTGAATTACTGTAAGTGTAATTTTCAACTCTCCTATTAGGGTATATGATCACTCAACATGCCCTCCATGTATTAACAGGCAAGAAAGTTTGATCCCTTACTAGATGCTAACTCCTTTAAAAAACTACTGTCATGACATTCCCATTACTTATTTCAGGGTATTACTGATATACATAGGACCACAGAAATGATGATAACTAGTTTTTCTCATGTTTATTGTTTACAGGTGAGGAAAGAATACTATATTTACCACAAAATCAAAGCTTGGCAGTGTCAACACATGAGTTATTTTTCCAAACAATTATTTAAGGGTTGGAAAACTTGGAATTGTAGAGATTTCTTTAGCAATCAATAAACAAACATTTTTTCAATGTGTTCACCCTCTTGTAAGTTGTAACACAAACACATTGCAGCATTTCCGGTTCAAACTTTTGCTACTACTCAGTTCAAGCCTGACCAAGTTCAAGAAGAAAGTGAATAGGAATCCACAAGGGCATAACCAGAGGAACTTATACTAAATTTTTTTATTGGAAACAGAGAATCCAATTTATCATAAGGGAAGGTTGCCACACAATGATAAGATAACAAACCTTGAACATAATGCTAGTGCAAGAGAATAGAGAAGCTGAAAATGAGACACCATGGGAGGATAATTTATTGAAGCCCTACGAATTGCAGCTTCTTTTGCAACCTTCAACCATTCAGGAGTAGCAATATTTGCTGCCTCTCCACAATTAAATCCTGGAAAGAAAAGTCCAATGAAGGGGTGAATGTTCCAAACAGTAAAACAAATATTTGCTTTCATCACAGCAAGCACTAGGGCCAATATCAGGAAATAAAAGAAGGTGCCAGTTTCCATCATCAGTAACCAGAATTCTGGAAAATGCTTAGATCTAAAACATGGGGATACCAAGCACAGACAGCAGGAACAACGAAGATGCTACTAGATCTTTCCTCTACAATTCTGCATGGAAAGAGCACCTAAAAGAGATACAAGGAACACAAACAAATAAAACAAATGGCATATGATCAGTGGGCACAAATTCTAGTGCCCATTAAGACTGCAATGCAAATCTGAACCGGATATAAATTATGATCCAGTTTAACTTTGCATTTGTAAAAATGATTTGCACTCCTACCTGATACAAAATTTGCACTTTTTGTCTCATTTGCACTCACTGGAAATACAAATTTTGCATCCCAAAAACTGATGCAAAATTTGCACCACCTTCCTTCTACGTCAATTCTCTATCATATAAAGTGGGGACCAGATCATGTTATTTCTTACCTCACTCCCCAATAAATAACCCTCCTATCTCCATCTCTTTTTATATAGAGTAGGGGGTTACTTTACTTAATTTTTCCTCTCATTTTGCTTCTCACAAACAAATAAAAAAACCAAACCTAAAGCGACAGTAAACCAAAATTATACTCAGCCTATTTGCATTCCCATGTGTTTATACCAGTGCAACTAAACTTACATGTAAACAAATGAGCCTAAATAACAAATATTTGGAAAATATCATCTACAGAAATAAACCTAAATTCATAAATTCATCTGTTGATTGTAAACCAAAATCAAGAATTATTTTATCAGTAAAAAACCAAAAAAAAAAAAAACAGTAAACCTAAAAGAAGAAGCCAGTAAACTCTTTAGAGTCTTCCCAATTGCAGTACAACAGCCAACAACTTGAAAAACTTAAACATGCTTAGTATAGCCATGTCATAGTGCATGGGTATTGAAAAAGATACTTGGCACAATGCTTAGTATATTTTGGCAACTTATGCCATAACAAACCTAGTAAACGTTTGGAATTTCATTAAATCAGCATCAAAGAAGTATTGAAAAAGATACTTGGCACAATTGAAAAACAAACTTAAACATACCCTATCGTCACATTAGATGAGATGCTCATATCAGCATCCATTTCCTAGATTTTGAGAAACAATGCATGGAATTTAATTAAACCTAACACGAAAGAAGTATTTAAAAGGATACTTAGCACGGTTGAGAAAACTAACTTAAAGGTACCCTATCAGCATATCAGATGGCATACTTATATCCATATTCATTCCTTAGATTTTGAGAAACCACAAGTCAAATTCCCATATCCTACATCTGTGTCCACATAAATGTCTGTATCTGAGCATCTCAGAGACAGAAACAGATGAACTTGATACAAAGAACCAATAAAGACCCTATATAGTTGGGATAAAGCTTAGAAGCTAGTCTCAGCTGGGTTTTCTTCGAAACTTCAACTCAAGTAAACCAAATGGTTAAACCGTTTGACCCATGACCCAGTGACAAAAATCAGTTTGTGCCCAGCTCAAGTCTAACAACACTGTGTGTGACTAATCCACATGTGTAAGAAAGATTTCTAGGTTCAGGAATGGGAGCTCAAAACTAGAAATTGGAAGGAAGCTTTGATTAAGCCTCCTGTTTTTGGTCTTTCTTGAGCTTTAACTTCCACGGGGCTGTGTCTTTCAAAGAACACCTTACCAAACAACAAATGATTTTCTTGCCCTTTAATGGCTTTCAAAACCTTAGCCATAGCCTAACCAAGCAGGGCCCTAGTAAACAAGGTATTTATAATGCCAATTTGACAGCCTAATAGCAACCAATAAACAATACCCAAATCCAACTCAGGTTGGGCTATGACTAAGCACCTAAGGTTAGCCTCCAGGTTGTGTCAAATTATTGTTCAGAGTTTGGGTATTCAGTTTACACCTGTTTTTGGCTTCTTCATACCTGACCGGAGGTGCTCAATCTAGGGGTGCAACTTATACGGGCTCAGGTTGGGGTTTTGTTAAAATTTGAATGGACGCAGCCTGGTAGCCTGGCCCTGATGCAGTCTAAAATCCTCAAATAAGGTATCTGACTTGCACCCCTAGCTCAATCTGAGGTTATCCAGTTGTGATGAATTAAGATTTTGATTTTAGAACCAAGCACCATTTTCCTGTGGCTAAGCTAAACACAGTTGTTCCAAGTGAAGGATGTCTCACCATGGCTGAACCCTGAATGATATGCCCTTGGGAAAGTGACAACAAACTCCCCCGCATTTTGCACCAATCTGATTTTAGGATAAAATAAATGAAGTAAGAGAAAAATAGAAAACAGATTCGTGCAACCACCCAAAACACTTTCTTTTCTTTTCTTTCTTGAATTAGTAAGCTAAACACTAAATTTCTGTGCAGTGTAAGTTAAGGACTACCTGCAGCATGGAATCCCTAAACTGACGAGTACTTCAGGTGACATCACTGTGGTCTTCTCACCAAGAATAGCAAAAGTAACTGCACAAAATCATCAACATCAGAATAGGAGATAGCTGAATTTCATAAAATGTTCATCTTCATTTACATGAGAATATTGAAGTTCATTGAATAACTACCAAATAAAACCAGAGTTGCTTGATAAGTTATAGTCCTCTATAACCAACAGGATCATTTAATTCTACTCAGTATACAACCCTCATAAGATGACTAGCTGGATCACAAGTGAAGAGGCCTATGGGACAAGTATATCAATCAAACAACTCAGATCACAAAAGCCAAAAAGAGAAACAAAACAAACGAGTGGTAGAATGTAGAAAGAGAATCGTTCTTTCACAACCAGGAATGAGAAGAGGGGAAAATTGAAAAAAGAAAAATGATGTACATGCACAAGCATTACAGTCATGACAGCTCCCACTCTCACCCCCCCCCCAAATGCCCCCACACATATGCTCCCTTAATCTTTCTAAGCCCCAAACCAATGATGATCCATGATGCCCATTTTAACCCTGTAGCACATGTGGCAGCTAGGAAAGCCCATCATGGAAGAGAATAAAAGGAAAATATTCTAGAGAACATGCCAAGGATATGTCTTGCATTTTTGTTTCTTTTGTAATTTTCCATAACACCAAAAACAGATTGGTGATATCCCAACACCTATGATCAACTGGCTTTTTGTCTACCATGTAGAGGATTCATATACCAGTAAACTTCCCAACACATATAAACAAAGGATCCTTAGAGAATACTCTATAAGGCATGTTGAATAATCATACTTAGCGGACAGACTTCCATGCCCCTCATCCCCTGCAGCCCTATGGAAAATCTGGCCTCTAAATCTCTAATCACTCCATCCTAGTTCTTTAGAATTGTTCCCAAATTTATACTAATAATGCAGAAAGTAAATTACTAGCAGGTCAAAGTTCAAAGTTCAAACTTCAAACATGTCACTGACTCAAAATTAACTATCTAAGCATATCATCCACCCAAGCAAACTCTAGCCTCACCTCCAAACAGGAAGTGAATGTTGTTATAAACTCCAATACCACCTGAAATATAGTATGGATCATCTCCAAACCCTACTCCTAGAAACTCAAACAGAGTATACCATCTAAGAAGGGTTCATCCGATAGGAATTGGCCTTCCTTGCAAAACCTCCACAACTGCCATATGGATAGGGCCTCACATCGAAATAATGAGCAATATAATGTAAACAGAGAAATACTGGAAAATGAAATGATACATGGATGTAAAAAGAGTAAAACAGTCGGATATTATAGTAAGCAAAACAAAACACAACAGCAGTCCAAAGGCAATGTAAACATACAAAATCAATTAATAGCAAAAGTTCAAAAAATAAAAAACAGAAAGCGAGGGAAGGTCATTTTTTATTTGACAACGATATAGAAATTAACTCTAGGAAAGATAAAACAGGGAGAACTCGTGCTTTTAATTGATCATGATGTAGCAAAGAACTGACCAAGAGGATTGACTTCTCCTCCATATCCATGGACTCGGACAACTTCCTCGAAAGCAACAGCTGCTTCCCTCGGCACTCCGTACCAAGTCTTCGCTGACCCCATATGCAAATAGTTTAAACTGTGCAAATCATGATCTTCCACATGCCAGGCAAACCAACTGAACATCATTGCTATATACACCATAGGCGAAGTCACACCAGGTATTTCCTCCTTCATAAACCGTAACAATGAACCTTTAGCCCTCGAAACACCTCGCATATTCCACGCTGTATCTCCAACTGTAGTGGCTTCCCCTGATTCCCTCCATTTCTTACCATTAACCGGCACAAAGGCTGAGCCAGGCATGTCATTGGCATACTCCACCGAAAAGGGTTTGTCCACACTCGCCTTCCAAAAAAGGGTTTCGATTTCCAACGGTGAGAGCGCCTTCTTCCCAGTTTTCCTCAGATGGGTCTTCTCGAACTGTTTGGCTTTGGCTTCAAATTCCTGAAGAGTGTAGGTCTCTCCACTCTGCCACACGGGTTTCTGAACGGGTCGAGACTTCCGGGGACAGAACCCGATCTGCTGCTGCCTGGTGGTGAATGTAGGTGGTGATTTCGGGTTGGAGTTAGGGCTTCGAGCAGCGAGGGAGCGGTTGAGGTTGGCAATTGCGGTTTTCTTCGGCGGTGGTGGAAGCGGAGGAACGATCTTACAGATGCCAAACTTGGACGCTTCTTTCTCGATCTTGAGAATGTACGCGATAGGGTCCTGGAATTCTGCAACGGTAGGATGGTATTCGGGAGCTAAAGGTAGGGTTTTGAGCCACGGAAAGATCTCTGGAGGAGACTCTGCTGCCGATACTGCTGCCATTAATTAATAGTGGGTCAGAGGGATATTGAGAAACTCATTTACAGACTCTCATGACATTGAACAAGGAGGGAAGCAAAGAAGAAGAAAAGAGCATATCATATTTTCTTTGGCTTCTTTCCTTCCATGAGCTCTTCTTCTTCTTCTTTACTTTGCTCTGCTTTCCTTGTAAACAGAGTAGAAATGGTGAGAAGAGAGGGCAGCAAGTGGGAGAGAGTATATTGAGTGGGGTTTTATTCTGGTTTTGGGTTAACTGCAATAAATGACATCGTATTTTGCTTTAATTCCCGTCTTGCCATCCCATTTTAATTTTCTTTAGAAAAATACACATCAATATAATATACCCAGCAAGCGAAAAACAATTTCAATTTCCTTCTTTCCAAAAAAAATAAGAGGAAATACTTTTACAGGTAAGCTGTAAGCAAGGGGCAGTAAACGATTCCTAGACGAGTCGCTTAGATTCCTTTTCAGCACGATACCACCCACGAATGACGTGGCCACTCCAATGCCATCCATTAGTAGGTGACGTAGGCCCCGTGTGTCAGCTTTAAACGTTGCATTGTTTTTTACACCGTAACAGCATCAGCTTCTATGTTGAGGTGCTCGTCTATTCGGCACTTGATATGGTCAGTGGCGATCGTGTGTCGCGTGACTCATCCCTTCTAATACATAAACAGGATATGGTGGGGACCCACATTGGATGGGCTATATATATAGATCCTGATTTTTCGAAGGCCGAAAATTAGGCCCATGTAATCATGTCTTGGTTATGTGACTTATGTCGGGCGTCTAACCTATGGTGGGCCCCACGGCTTCCATTTAGATTAAGTTTACGCTTTTAACGTACGGTCCTCCCAAGTGCCAACCTTGTATTGGCGAGAATCCCATCCGATGATTTAGAATGCCTCCACGAGCGAGGGGACCCACGTTGAAACGTGGACTAAAAAGGTACTTTGATTTTGAAAAATAAAAATAGAATTGATTTTCTTTTTTTTATTATTTTTTAGGAAAAAAAAAAGGAAACGTGAAACCTATTTTATATAAAATAGATTATATTTATTTTTAAATTTTTGGATAAAGACCAAAGAGTATCAATTAACATCAACTGCTACGGAAGGAAGAGCCGGAGCCCTCTGTTCCTTGGAGAAAGAGCACCGAAGTGAAAAGTAAACAATGGGCGCGGGTTCGCCTGTATTATATTTTGTATGTCGTTTATGCCCACTTTTTTATTTATTTATTACATTGAATCAACGATTTAAAGATGAGGGCAGTAGAGGCTCGAATAAAAAAAAGAAACATAACAGATGTTTGAACTTTGAACGAAAGATCCCAATCGTATGGTAATTGCTGCAGTGCATATTAATGTTGCTTTGGGCATATATACACGTTGAAAACTCGAGTAATGCCACTCGCGTCACGTGTGGCCGTGTAGGTAAAAAAAGGCGACAAGAAAAGAAAATTTGTGCATTTTCGGTCAGGGACAGTTTGGTCAATAAAAAGGCTTTATATACTCTGATTGGTGGTTGCTGGAGGGTTGTTGCCTGTTGGTTGTTACTCCAACCTGGCTAGCACATCACTTCCCAAACATTAGCCAGTTGGCAAGTTATAGGTCTAGTATAGTAGCAGACCTAGAGACGAAAGCTTTTAAAAACACAAACTGCATATCCTCGGGAGAAGCAAAGTGAGCCTTGCAATCATTTTGCAGCTAACCAGTTAGGCATCCCAACAGTAAGATGGGCCCGAACCTTGGTCCTACATAACCTGATCAATTGATGATGCAGCCGAGGTTTTCATTTGGGTCCACTTGACTCTCGCTATATTACGTGGCAAGTTCCATGCTACCACGTCGGCAAAAAGTCCACTCTTTGTAAAAGCACAAGAGTTGCATAGAGATTCGGAAAAAAAAATTTAAAAAAAAAAAAAGGTGAAGTATAAAACGGGGTATAGGGCTGACGTGGATAAAGGTATATTTCTCATAAAATTATAAATCTAGATTTGTCCATGTCATATTTCCACATGGCGAAATTCTAACCAGTTGTAGTTATGGATGTGAAAAGATATAATTCAACTTTTGTCTAATTGTATTACTTATGGGCCCACTATATCTTTACTCCTTAGGGTGCTGAATTAAGGGGTTGCACGGGGGAGTTGTTTGCTAGCATTGATCGTCCTTGTAAAAGGCATGAGCACATAAGATATAGGTTAGGGTTACTAAATATAAAATGAATGGAACCTCACCGCGCTGCAACTGCGAGACATGGTACGACCTTTTTTTGTCAACCTCTGGTTCATTGGCATCGCCTATTATATGTGTCCCATCATGTCTGTATTGAATTGAATGCTGCTGCTGAAACCATTGCCAAGGCTCTCGTATAGACACTTTCACTGACTTTGGTAGACTTTAAAGTCTAGCAGCAACATAAACAGACTTTTTTTTTCTCATAGAACTGAAGTGAAATACATGATGGTTAGGGAAAATAGTTTATCCAATAGATATATTAAAGTAGGGGTACTTTAAGCCCGACCTATATATATGAAACATTATGATAATGGCACCTAAATTATATATGATATAATATTATATTATATAGTGTATAGAATAAATTTTAAGCATTTTTCAAGTTCAGTCCCTTCAGATTTCGTTTATTGATTCCGCAAATGTATATTCGCCCAATCACCCACCCTTTATAAACACTATCCCTCCATGAATTGGAAATCTTTCCCCTTCACAATGACTTGAAATGTACGATCTCATTAGGAATTCTAGGGGAGGCTGATCTCAAATTACCTCTATATTTTATTAAAAAAAAGTCTATGATGCGAAAAAGGCATGATATTGAAATGAAAACTTAACCAATAATCAAACCCTCCCTCTTGTGAATTTTGATAAAAATTCGTTTCATTGGTTATCACATTTATGATGTTGGTTGATTGGCTATAAATTTTGATTATATGACGTATGATAGATAGATAGATAGATAGATAGATAGTATAAGTAAGTTATAAGTCCAAAACCTGGCCGATCGAACCTATGATTACCCCTAGTCATAAGTCCTTTCATGGATGCTCATTTATTTTTGATGTAGCATATTAGAAGTCGAGAAACAAAGACCCATTTGGGAGAAAACCCTAACTGTTGGGATCATTCTTGGCATGACTGGTCAACCCATTTAGTGATCTGCTTATCTTTTTGGTCAAATGACAACAATTGAAGTCAATTATTCTTTAATCCTACACCCATGGTAACATGTCATGCCCAAGAGCATTCCTAAGAGCCAAAGTTTTTTGCCATTTGATTGCTTAGAGGATATAAAAAAGTGAAAGAACCCAAATAATAAAGAAAATAATAATTTTTTATCTTTTAAAGATATTTGATTTGTGAGAAACAATAAGAAATCTTAAAATTATAGTAGTTAATGGCTCCATTCACGGTTCACTGGGAGGGACCTGCCACCAACAGGCCACTACATTCATACATTGAGAACATCTCCCTCGTCATTCATGGGTATATGTTCTCAATCTATGACCGCAATGGCTAGTTAGGTTGTTGTTGAAAACATGTTTTTTTTTTTTTTTGACTTTTTCAAATAAAAGCAAAGAATATCATTTTAAAATAAAACTTTAAAAGCACAAATTGATAGGAGGTGGGGGAGCCAACTTGGTTATTACATAGTAAACTTAGGACATTTCAGAAATATATAGAATGGAGACTTAATGGATGACTTTAATTTTATGTACATTGAAGGCCAGAAGAATTTTTATTTTTTTTATCCCTCTCGCAGTACCCAAATAACTACACTCTTTGGTCGTCTTACACGTTATGTATGGCCTCCTCCTATTGTGTCTGTGTATGTTTTGAATCATTCTACATGGAGTCATGAGTGAGCTACTGTGTTTAGTGACAATCACATGACTTGATCACATGCCTCCATATTTCAACAAGAACTTGCAGTTACATGGATTTGATCCCATGCTTTCATATTTCAAAGAGATATTGAGTGACAATCTCAACTACTGTAGTGCAACTTTTGTTTGATCCTTCATATAGACACTTCTATCTTACTTGGTTGTTCTTGATCACATACATACATAATTTACTCTCTTTGGTTTTCTTTTTATATTTTAATGAGAGACTTGTGTCAATATTCGATTTTTGCTCGGCCCATTGTCTAAACCCTCAATTCACTTTGAACACCCAATTAAACCCTTTCAAATTCTTTGAAAACCTAACCCCCCCCNAAAAAAAAAAAAACCAACTTTCATATCAAAATCCTTCAAATCCATCGTTAAATCTACCTAATACCAATCTGATGGCCTCGATCAACCCCCATTTACACCTTGACCCTTAGATCATACACCACCATCAAACCCCAAACATCCTACAATACATACCCATGAAATTTCAAGTCACGTTCCCCGTTTCCCCTTGCATCAAATAAGTTTCCCTTTTGAGCCCTGTTGTAGCCTAAAACACCCGGAACCCAGCTCCCTTTGATCCTAACAACTCTAAAGCAGTTAGATTGTATGATTGAATCTTAGACATGTTAAAACATCCACATACAAGGTTTCTACCCAAAATTTCCCTATTTACCCCTCAATTAAACCAAAATTATAATTTGGATCCTCTTGTTAACATAAATTCCCTTAATATTGACTTCCCTAAATCAATTGGACATTACCATCAGATTTGAGCATCCTAAAATCTCTATATGTAAAATTTCACCCTAATATACTCTTATTTGCCTCTTCATCACACAAAGATTTCATTCCGATGCTCTACATCAACCAAATCTCTTACCCCTGGATTTGTTTGATCCAGGCCCAATTAGGACAATTTGACCCTACCAATCTATCCAAATCTACCATTGTTTTCTTCTAAGCCCCCAATAGCTATGTATAATTTAGTATGTTTATTGCCATTTTTCAGATTTTTCACGGCTTTAACAATTGCATAATTCTTCCCGGATTAATAAATTAATATTAACAAGGATATTAGTAGTTTTCTTGAATATTTTATTATAGATTAAAGTTTAGATTGCTCTCGAATAGGATGCTTTGAAGCTTGAAATCCTTGAATATCAATTAGTTCTCCACTTTCTATCATTTGGGTTTGTTTTGTCCGCTATGATTAAGTCTTGTTTTTTTGTAATGTGTATTACCTTTGATTTGTGATCTCAAACTGAAATGAATAGTGTAGAATTTGTTTCTGGGTTGATGGCGATGAGATGTAATAAATGTGTAGATCAAACTAAAAGGAGGGGGATGTTGGCTATAGATCTAGGTGTAGCTTGATGGGTAGGGGAGGGAATAAGTGGTCGAAGGAAGAAACATTAATATGAAAAGAATAACAAAAAAGAAGAAAAAATAATAAAATTTAAATTAAATAAAAAACAAAAAAGATAATAATAAGAAAATTGTTATAAAATAAAGAAGATAAGCTCTATGAAACAATGAAGCAAATAGGGTAGCATAAGCAAATAGCAAAAAAATAATAAAAATATTTAAAAACAATTAAAAATATATATAATAAAAATAATAAAAAATAAAATGAAAAGTAAATAAAAAAATAACTAGATAAAATTTTAAAAATAGGAAAACAAAATGAATAGAAAATATAAAAAGAATAATGATAATAATAATTAATTAATTAATTAAATGAGAAAATAAAAGAGTATAATAATAATAATAAAAGGGGAATAAAAAATATATGATAAATAAATAAAATTGAGTAAATTCATTGTTGTTGGTTATTCTCAACTCGTCACTTTCTATATCATTGCTATGCTTTTGATTGCTCATGTATTTGTGATTATGCTTATTTGGGATGCCATATGAGGTCTACCTATTGGAGCTAGGAGAGGGGTGCCTAACACTTTCAATTTCCCATTGGAGTCTTACTTGGATTGGTGTAGTTAGTGCCTAAGCTTTGAAGTCACTATTAAACCAAACATGCTTTTTGGTGTATATTCCACATGTCCCATCACCTATATTTCACATAACTTATGGGTGGCGACTCCAATTCAGCCCAAGTAAGTTGTTTCCCCGATGCTCACAACTTGTAACTGAGTATGAGTAATTTAATTTTTGCTTCAAGCTTAAAAAAAGTTAGTAGATCATCAGCAACACTAGCACACGAAATTCAGCATGCTTGCTTTACCTTTTCATCTACAACATAGGGTTGATTTTCTAGCCAATTGATTGACACTTTTAGAGTCTGTTTAATTTGCAGGAATAGGGGTTTATAACCAATATCAGAATTTGGTTGGATGGAATTGAAATCCATTCTCATTCCCGGTGGAATGGCATTCCCCAGTATCAGAATTTGGTTGGTTGAGGTAATTTGGACTAGCTGAATGCTATGGCTGTTCAGCAGGCTGTGAAACCAATGATGAGGTTCCACGCCAATAATAAATCCATAGCCCCAAGAGGAATAAATCATTCAGATTCTGATTCATAGGGATTCCCCGATCTTTAGATAATATTGGCAGGATTTCTGCTATTGCAAAAAGTACACCTTCCATGCAAGTATAACTACTCAAAGTGTCAAAGAAGGTACACAGCTCTCTTTTTTTGGCTCTTGTACTAAAGAAAACGCCAATTTTTATTTACATACTTCGTAGAAGACAATAGAAAACCAAATTTGGGCCTGACCCAGAATGCTCAATGAATGAATAAATCAAGCGCAATTACTGAAAAGAAAGCGATTAAGGTCGCACTTGGGCGGGTCCAGTTTTGTAAGGGCTGAACCTGAGTTTTCAAGTTGTAGGCTAGGCTTGGGCTAGTAAATTTGGGTCTGACTTAAACTTGTCTTGGGCTTTAGGTTGAGGTCATGGATAGTCCATTTCCAATCCAAGCTTGGCCCAATTAAACCTGAGCTTATACATATGTGTGTGTGTTTGTGTATATGTTTATAAAGGAAATTTGTACATATTTTCAATAAATTCTATTCATAAATTAAGACATAAAACCCAATACAAGATGTCTATGCAAAATTACATTTATAAATTCTTTCAAACCCAACCAACCTACCCCAGCTAATGGATTCAACCAAAGCCAAACCAGGCCAAAGCTGTGTTGGGCTAAGCTCAAACCCAGCCCATTCTGGGTTTTGGGCCTAAAACATTAAGCCCAGGTCCAGATTTCAAGTTTATACTTTTATATGTAAAATATTAAAGTACATATAATATTTTATATTATATATCATATAATGTATACAATGTATTTTATACATAAAATGAGGAATTTCCAAACTGGGCTGAAAATGACCACCCCACGCCACATCGTTCTTCATCCGGATTTGTTCCTCAAACCAACCTCACAGCACTTTCAGTGCATCCATTGGAAACATCTCCTGAATTTGTATATTTTCATCCATGGGAAGATATTCCTAATATACGGTTATGATGCACTGTAAGGTGTGCATTGCAAAGAGCAAATCCGATTTTGCAGTGAAGGTGCATGCCCATGGGTAGGATCATGGTTTTTAAAACCGGATCAGACTGGATGATCAGGCTGAAAAACCCAGAAACCACTCAAGTAACAAGTTCTGTTTTACCCTAAAATCGTTTTTGATAAAAAATCGTTGATTTGATCAGTAACCCACTGACCCGGGCAATCAAACAATTGTCCCAGACAACAGTTTTGGCCAATTTTTTTTATTATTTTTATTTTTTAAGTCAGAACAGACCATCCATTCGAGCTGGATAGACAGACCGTTCAACCCAGAAACCGGTCCCTAGAATGGTTCCCTGTCCGATCCGATTTTAAAAACATTGGGTAGGATGCAACTGGGCCATATTCAGGTTGAAATATGATAAAATTTTAACAGGTCCGATGCTGTGTAAATCCTTCTTTTGAATCTTGATTCCACAAGGACAATACTCACTATTTAGAGAGAGAGAGAGACAGAGACAGAGAAAGAGAGGAGCATCTTCTGCAAATTATGGTTGTTATTCTGTTAGAGCTCTTAATCAAACACAAACGCACTAATAATGGAAATAGAAAAGCATAACCGGTGGTATGTATTTATATTATATCGAGAGCCTCAAGAAAATGGCACAAATGTTAGTGGTGCGAATGTGCCACAAAACTCAACTGGGAGTGTGATTGACACTGAATAAATCGACCACATGCCTTGGGTAGAGGTGCTAATCTGCTCCCTCCTCTTTTGACTGTATTGATACGTCTATATCTATTTATGTACCTACCCCCACCTCCAGTTGACCTTTTCCATTTTCCAAACTTATTTTTTCCCTCTTCTGTTTTTTCACAGTTTTCTTTACATGTAAAACAAAAAAAAAAGGGTGCAATATCAACTGGAGCTATCACCATCAGGCAGCTAATTGGTAAGTGATTACTGGAAGTGAATCGTTGTGGCAACAAAAGTGATTGAAGTAGAAATCTAAAAGAAGATCAATGATAAGGTGAAGGATTAAAAAAGAAAACAAAAAAAGGAAGGTGATGGCCTGATGGATCATGGATGGGGTATTTATTTATTTATTTTTTCAGTAGCAATAATTCAGCCTACCATTTGGTGGGTCATTTCTAACTGGTAAGGTACAGTGGGGGCCCATCCCAATCTAATATTCTATCTCTAACGGTATCATATTCTCCAAAGTTGCTCTTATATCTGTTGAATATTACATCTATGCCATTTTCCCATTATATTTGACTTTTTTTTTTATTAATCCATTTATATATTCGACATTGGCAGTGGGGTAAGTCGGCTACGTGGAGGAGTCAGATAGAGATTTCTCTTGGATTGGTTGTGTGTCCAATCTCACAGTCCACAACACTCCTACACCCATTCAATAAACTTTTTGGGTCGATTTTTTTTCCACTAAAAAAGGGTGAAACAGGACAGGAGCTTGGAGGTTTCTTTATTTATCATCCCATCCTCGGTCCTCACGAGAGAGAGAGAGAGATCTAATGATTAGAGGAGTGTGGGTTGGAATCTAACGATTATAATCAATGTATAGGTGTAAGGTATATGGAATTAATTAGTGCTATTACCCAAAAAAAGCAATTAATTAGTGAGCTTGTACAGGTGATTAGAGGCTACTTTTTTGTTTTTATTTGATGGGGTTTTGGGGGTTTTTAAGATGGCTTAAATTAAATTGTCATATCTATCCATCTCTTGATATCTGCTAAAATTAAATTCTAGTATAAACCATCCCATTAATTTTATAAATTTGCCCACCGACACTAAACATTATTTGGATTTTTTACACCATAATATTTAACCCATCAGGATTCAGGTATTAATATTTAATAGGGCCCCTTCTTGACTTGAACGTCAAAAGTGATCAAATGCAAGTTGTCCTAAAACATCCTGATCAGCATCACACCCATTAATGGCTCTTACGAATTAATCTTCAGTAGAATTTTAAGCTACCCATTTTGGATCGCCACAGTGGTCGTAAACTGATTTTGGCCTCCAAGTCCAATGATATTGGGGGCCATTTTCCCTCACTACCTTCTTAAAGTTGGTCCCAGAGCGAGGTCAGTCTGTCATTTTGTAATTTGCAGGCTGCACAGAGGAAGACTCTGGTAACTATTCAAAGATTTTAATTAAAGAATAGAGTGGCATCGTCAATCAACCCAACCCCTTCCTCCCCACATACAGAGAAAATTACAGACAGAATCTGGTAACTATTTCGGCTGGGCCAGGATCAGTCTGAACCTGACACTTCATCCTGTTGAGAAATGACAATGATAAAACCAACTTATAACCTATTGGATTAGACCCCGAATACAAACAGGTTTTGCTTTTGTGTCAGTTCGTGTTTATAATTTGCAGTTATTTCACAATGCCATTTCAGTACACCTGCAATTAAACAAAAGGCATATACATCTTTGGGGATGATTAAGAAAATAAACAATCATTTTGATTTAACAAGGCCCCTATCATAGTATGACAATTCTTTAGTAATCCATGAGAAAATGATCTGCAGCCATATAACATAGGGGCATGGCAGCTTCAAATGCCACGGAAAGGCTTGAGTAAAATTAGCATTTGTTTGAATCAATACTTGGCGCAAGCTCAAGAGAAACAGGGCAATGATCACTCCCATAGAATCCTGTAGATAGAAGAAAAAAAAAAGATTGACCTAAGACGGTGGAAAAATTAACAAGTATGCAGATAATCTGAAGTGATTGATATCATAGAACATTATTATGCCCACAATGCCTTCATCCGCCATTGGATTAATATTTCTGCTCAATTTATGGGCCATAACCAAAATATCATATTCACAATGAACCAAGGAATTGATGAGATCTGGTACTTGAACCATGCTAATATAACCAAGCAAACTGTATTGCCGGCATAAGCAGATATGAAAGGCTAAATGTTGCCACAATTTGCTGGCATAAGCAGAGAACCAGTAAGTTCGGGATTCTATAACAACAGTTGTCAAAAACATTATTGAGGAAAAATCACCAAGAGCCAAGAGGTAAGAGAGGGTCTAAATACATATGATTAACAATACGAAGATAAGGAATCAAGATATAGCACAAAAACATTGGGATAGATAAAGATTCATCACAATAAGTCTACTTAATGTAGTATTGTCAACCTAATAAGTAAATTAAATTGGCACCCTGACTAACAATCAAAGATGGTGCTGCCAACACCTGATGAAAGGGAGGTCTACATTGGCCTACCACAGAGGTTGTGATAGGACATCTTTTTTTTTTTGGTGGTCTTATTTGTCATAACAAAGAATACAATGAGATTGTACCTTGCAATTCAATGCCTTGTCCATGCATCTCACATGAAACAATCCTATCTTTGAGTTTCTCAGAAACTATAAAGTAGTCTATCCTCATCCTTTTCCCTCGGTACCTGTAACAAAATCACTCATTCTCATCAGTGACAAATTATCAGGGAAGTTTCTTTTTTCCTAAAAAAAAGAGATAAGGGCCCACTTGTTAAAGGAAAAGGTCCAAATATAGAAAAAGAAGTGTCTAATCCAAAGTCCAAACAGATTTATATGCCGAGGAAATTTGCCTCTCCAATAGAAGTTTTAGTTATTAGCAAAAGTGGTTGTTTAAATTGTCAAAAAATGCCCTTAGCAAATGAACCTTCCCTGCATTATCAGAAAACCTTCTTGAATTGAACAGTTTCCTTAATTAATAATATTAAAAAAAGAAAATGTGATAGAGAAATTAAGAAAGATACACATCTCAGTATGAGAGGTTTAGTGGGACTATGGGAGTCAACTTTCCTGCAACCAGAACTCATTTGGAAGTTATACCAGAAAAACATGTGAGAAATGAAACATTTTGCCGGATTCAGAAAAACCTAGTCTTTGGTTAAGACGAAAGACTTGTGATGGACGAAACAACCTTACTTGGAAAACAGTCATGGTGAGAACACACTTATCATCAGAAAATAACTAGATTACTAAGTTCAGAAGACTGCTCAAAGTTTTGCTAAGAACTCAACCTACAGCTCAACTCAATTCAGCATAATCCCAAGAACCCAACTATTTGGGGTTGGCTATATGAATCTTGTCCCGCCAATTGTGACCTATCAAGAAATACAAATACATATCTAGCTTGGATTGAAAAGCCTCAATTACGTTAAAATAAAAGGGACCTTCTTGCACTTTTCAATACAAATAAATATAGAGTGGATTTTATATTTAATGTAGAAACACATGGTAACTTCTGCCTGTGGGATGGCATGTTGTGCTCTACCATGGAAGTTGATGTGTTATAAATGCAGTATCACGGGATCCAACATCCAACAAACAACCTAAGAGATCACATTGATTCCCCTCCCCCTTTTCTTGGACCATTTCAATCCATTCATGATATTCCAACAAAGTTCCTCTTGTAAGATTTCCTAGGTGGACCCATTGACTATTGGGCCAACAATAGTTGTTGGTTGACCACTTACACCGCATTCTGCATTTCTGCTATCAAGCCAAAAATAATCTACATTGCAGCCACTTTAGATCTTCTTTACAAGAAAAAGTTATCAATCCAAGAAATAAAAGAAACATGTAATCAGATTTAAAAGTGTTGTGATGTTGCTTACTTTCCAACAGGATTTCCGGACCACGAGAACCCTCGCTCCATATCTTTTTCCTTGTGTAGGAATCTATATGCATCTACCAGCTTTCCCCTGAAACATAATCCAGAAACAGTGCTAATACGTACTTTTTAGGACTAAGGGACTGTTTAATAACACCTGAAGTGGCTGAACTGAATGGCTTGTCGCTTTATCTTTTATTGAAGAAGTTACTAAGAAGGTTGTGAAATCTGTAATAGTTCAAGATGAAGTTGGGTTGAATACTATACCCTCAAATGTTTTATTATTTAATTATTTTATCCACTAAAGACAAAATGATAAGTCATTCAGTTAAGCCACTTCAGCTATTATCGAGTGGCTCCTAAGAAAAAAGAACAAAACCCTGGCATCTTGAATTTTTATAATAGTAGTAAACAAAGAATAGAAGCCTAACAACTTTATATTGTTTTTAGATCAGGGTGTATTTGGATTTGGTGATGGAATCATGAAACTGAAGTTATGTCTGATAACCACCGATTTCTTTACTTCAGGTTCATCTTATGGTGGAGTAGAATTAGGCAAAATGCAGACTTCTAGACTTCAAATTTATTTTATAATAATTTAAAACAACATGAGGACAGTAGTCATTTCAACATATGCAGAGAGTGAGAATGGAATTCAAATCCAAATCCACTCCTGCAATCCAAACATAGCCTTAGTTTTAACAACTAAAGATGTAAAGAGAAAAAGTGCCAGATGGTCATGCAGAAGCCTTGTTGGCATTGATTGGACAAACCCCTTAGGATGGCTATGCTGATAACTTGTTCCTATAAGCTGCATGAATTGGGATTAATGATGCATAAAGAGTACTTATCTCTCACTTCTTCATTAATAAAGTTCCTTTTACTGATAAAGCAAAAAATTCCACCTAAGCCCCACCAGTTGCAATGGCATACTGCCTCTTGTTAACGTGACAACAATAGAAGTAATAACACTAAAATAAAGAAGTTACACACTCTGATAGTATGTTTCCAAAACGCCTCCTTTCTGCCAAGGTAAATCCAGGCTGCCCAGAGTCCTACACCAACAAATTAGAGCCAAAGACCCCTTTTTAGTTATTGTTATTTTACATCTGAGAAGTATGGGATATGGTGCACATGATAAACATAGTTCCATGAATGATGAAAGGTCACAATTCCTTTCAGGCAAATGAATGCCTGGAAAGGTTCTGAAGACCTCCTCCACCTTTTTTTTTATCAGCCAGACCTCCCCCACCTTGACAGTAGTATTTGTATTACATTCAAAAAGTATGGTAGAGGTAAACTCCCTATACAAAAATATGCAAGGATATACTTTCAGCTCATGCACAGAATCTACGAAGTCCCACCTCCATTATGAGCCAAAAATTATGTTTTCCAAATCATTACAAAAGCTATGATACCTGCATACCAGTAGTCCTGTACAAGGGTGACATATCGTATTATGTACTTCAAAATTTAGTGTAAATTCTGTATCTGGTACCATGTCCAGCCATGTTGTATCTGGTACATAGTACAAAAATTGGAAAAAACTAGAGCTTTGAAGTTTGTAAAGTTGAGGCCAGAGAAAAATGTAAGCCCATTTTCTCCAAACACTATCTGTACTTTACAATAGCTACCTTTCATTCTTTCCATAAACTCCAACATTGGCAAAAGGAGTCCCATAAGAGACTGCCTTTTTTGCTATAGCCCCTAATATGCCATCAAAAGGAGTCCCATAAGAGACTGCCTTTTTTGCTATAGCCCCTAATATGCCATCATCTATTCTACGTGAACTCCATTACATTTACAATAATGATATAACATAGAAAGTAATAACATAAACATGCTACTTAAGGGTGAACCATTTACTGCAAGAGCATTAATAAATAACTTAGCATGTTCCAACCCTAACTTCTATCAAATATTTACTGCTTAGTCACCAACTAACAGAACCATTATGATGTAGCAATTACTTCCAAAAACCTCCTTACCAAAAGAAAATCTTATATAATTAACCTCCAGAACATACTACTATAATTACTGCCAATTCACCTTATCTGTGCTTAAGTACATTGTGTAACCCAGTACTACAATCATGTATTGCCATGGTTATTTTATCAGGTTTGCTCTAAAATTAAAATTTAATAATCAGATGGAAAACAATAAAACTCTTGGTTGAACATTAGTTTTGGAAGCTCATTTTCAGCTGTTAAAAAGAAATATGGAAACAAATAAAGGTGCGTTTGACAATCCTACATAACATTATTGAAGTCCCTTATGATGCAAGACTGTAACTAAGGAATTGCTCATTTACATCTGTTAAAATCAGCAAGGAGACAAATAAAGGCTTGTTGATGATCCTACATAATATTATGGGAACTGAATTCTTTTTCCATTTTTATGGTTTGAAGACTGTAACTAGGAAGCTGCAAGCTGAGGAAATCATTGTGCTTAAAATGTAAAACAGCTTTCCTTTCACAATCTTATAGCAAGTCAAGAATGGTGATTCTAGTATCCTCTAACATGCAACTGAATACGCAAATTCTTGTACTCTAGATTTTACTTTGTTCTTATTTATTTTTCTTTTGTTTTTGCTTCACCTAATTTTTTTTAAGGTGGACAAAATAACAAGGTTTAATGAACAAACTTCCATCTCCTGGATCACATTACATAGAAAATGTAGAACGATTCATTATAATAGCAAAATTGAAATGGCAAAAAAAAAATAATCTACTTATTTAAACTATATCAGAAATTACAGATCTCGCCAGCATTTTAGAAGAGCACCATTAGTAGTTTCTTGTTAACTGGAAAGTTGACAGAAATATCGGATATGAATTTATAGAAAATATGTTAGGTTGTGCTAAGGCAAGCTTATACAAGAAATGTGCACACCTCTTTGTTTGGAGGAACATAACCATTTTGCTTTGCGTTGCTGAAGAAATCTGGATGACTCACATCAATCTCTTGATGGCTGTGAAAATATGCAGATGGATTATGAGAATTTTACACAAGAAAGCCCAAGCATACTATGAATAAAAAATAATGGTACAAATGGATAAATTAGGTAAATGATGGTGGAGGTTTAGTGAATTGCCAGACTCATTATGAAGGAAAATTATAATGGTGAAGCATACTCAACTCAACTAAGCCTTGTCCCAACTACATGGGGTCAGCTTATTATGGTGAATTAAGTGTCAACGGCCAATAAAATTGTATAGGGTCAGGTGAGATGTAGCATGTACTTAGGTGTGCAGTTTGAGGAGGCATTGAAAAAATATGCCCTTCCTTCATCAAAAGGCCTTTTTGTAGGTGATGGCTCTTAAAATTAGATTTCAGTATGATGTTTGCTGTGACGACTGGCCACTTGTATCCCTCTCTAGTGCTGCTGAAAAAAGAAAAGCCTTGATAAAGGAATGCTATGAGGAGGGTCATGACAGAATGATTTGGAACCCGAAATTCAGGCACAATCTTAAAGATCAGGAGATTTACTCTTTGGCTTCTTTGCTGCAAAAGATTCAAGAGAATTCCCAGTTGCTGGTGGAGTTGGATTTTAGAATTTGGACATGGGACCAAACTAGAACAAAATTTCAGTTCTCATATGTTTTTAGGAAGTCTAGGTTCCTACTTAAATACTTAATAGATTATAGTTTTATATTGATGTCTTTTAATTTTGTCACCCAGGCAACACCTTGCTGCCTTAACTACAATTAGTCAACATGAAGTAGGAACTTTTTGTGCAGTGTAACTTCTGAGCAGTGAATTTTGTTGCATTGTTGAAGTTTAAAGATAAAACAGTTGGCTAGAGAGTTAAAGGCTACCATTAGATGGACTTAGGGGTCAACCAATGGCATACTGATACCTTTGTAAGACAGGGAGCAATCAAAAACAAACAATTTTTAGAGGTGGCATCCCGGGGAAGCATGTAATGTAAAGCAAGAATTTTGTAAATACTAGACAGTTGTAAATAGGGGTAGGTAGCAGGGCTACCCCAATGTCAGTGATGCTTGGCATATAATGATTGCACACAATTCTTTATCAAAAGTTAATACAACTGTTTTTTCCTTCAGACTACAATATGATGGAGGGAATACTTGAGTTTTGATCTAGGTAAAATATCCCTAGTTTAATTTCAGCATATGGTAACTTTTCATTGACATCTTTTGTATCTAAAAAGCATAACTTTAGATAAGCAATGAATGCACAAATACATACCTGAGAAGAAATACATCTAGAATTTAAAAGAAGAAACAACTGCAACAAAACAGAATGCGGTTACCTAACATTCAGGTCTCCACACCAAATTAACGGCTTATCTGAAGATTGCAGAACAAACTCTAACATTCTTTTATCCCATTTTCTTCTCCTCTGAAATGAGGTCTCTTCCTCTTTCCAACCATTATTTGGTGCATATGTATTCAGTAAGCGGAAAGATTCAAATTCAGCCAAGATAACCCGGCCATCTGGTTCATGCTTTGAAACTACCAACAGAGCAAAATATATGAATTGACTAGCATTTTTTGTCCTTGATAATAGACAAATACAAAAGAAATCCTAGAAACAATATTCTCAAGAAAATCTAATATGGAAGTCATTGTTTTGTGAAATTAATAATGAGATGCATTAGAAATAAGTAAATATATTTGTCCTGAAGTAAATGGAAATGCTTTGGAAGAAAGCTATATAGACAGAATTGTCCAAGTTCTTTCTCTCTAATATCTTTTTAAGAGAACTGAAATCCTCTGGTGAACATCCATTTAGCTGTGTCTGAAGATCAGAGATATCTATAGATGATAGTCTAGATAAAGCAGATCTGGACAGAGCTTAGTTGTATGGAGTTCTAGTTTTGGTTTTTGTATTTTGTTGATTGCTTTGACCATTTACCCTGCCTTCAACAAAAGGTCAGTATTTTAGTTCATAGAGGACTTTTTTTTACCTTATACTCTCTTTTAATCATTTGCTTCAATAAAGTTCCACATTTTTTATAAAAAAAAAAGAAAAATACAGGACTTCATGAGTATATAGAAAGGAAAAGTAATTACCAAAAAGAAAATCCGATACTTGATCTAGTATTGATAATACTGTTTTTTTCCACAAGGTGGCCAATGCAAGAAAGAGAGTTAATTGCATTCAAAAGTTCGATTTGGAAGGAAGGGTAGTGCATAATGAGGAAGACATAGCAGATGCTTTTGTTAATTTCTATAAAGGTTTGTTCAAGGAACCTTGCAAGAGAAGACCAAGGCTGGATGGTTTGATCTTTGACTGTTTGTCTGAGCAGCAGGTTTCAGAACTGAAAAAACCCTTCTCAGAAGAAGAGGTAAAGAAGGTTATAGAAGAAATGGAAGGGGAGAAGGCGCCAGGCCCGGATGGTTTGACAATGCTGTTTTTTTAAGAAGTTCTGGGAGCTCTTTAAAGCTGATTCACTAAGGCTTTTGGAGAAATTCCACAATTCTGCAGCCCTCAAGAAAAGCTTAAATGCTACTTTTATCTCCCTTATCCCCCAAAAGAAAGGAGCTAATGAGCTGAAAGATTTCTGGCCAATCAGCTTGGTTGGAAGTGTACAAGATCCTATTTAAAATTCTGGCAACCAGATTAAGGAAGGTAATGGATTCTTTAATCTCTAAGTACCAAGGGCCGTTTGTCCACAACAAGCACATTCATGATGTAGTTCTCATAGCTAATGAACTATTAGACTCAAGACTAAGAGGTGGAGAAAGTGGGCTTATCTGCAAAATTGACTTAGAGAAGGCTTATACCATGTTAACTGGTCTTTCTTGGATTATTTGTTGAAAAGAATGCACTTTGGCTCCAAGTGGAGAAGTTGGATGAAAGTTTGCAAATTAACCCCAAGATTCTCAGTGCTTGTAAACGGGACAGCTAGAGGAAATTTTAGCAGTTCTAGAGGTTTGGGGCAAGGGGACCCTTTGTCTCCTCTTCTCTTTCTAATAGTAATGGAAGGTTTAAGCAAGTTAGTGGATAGAACTGTGGAGAGGGAGCTGATGGAAGGCTTCCAAGTGAAGCCTAATGGGACTGCTATTCCAATTCTGCAATATGCTGATGACACACTCTTCTTTTGTAAGGCTTCAGAGGAGCAAGTTACGAATTTGAAGTACATTCTTTTCTGGTTTGAGATTATATCAGGACTGAAAGTAAATCCAGCAAAAAGTGAGATGATAGCTGTGGGTGATGTCTCTAACATCCAGGGTCTGGCAGACTTGTTGGGCTGCAAAGTTGGTCAGCTGCCAGCAAATTATTTGGGGTTGCCATTGGGAGCCAAATGCAATTCAAAAACCATTTGGAATCCAATTATAAAAAGAATGGATCAGAAAGTGGCCACTTGGAAAGCAAGGTATCTCTCCAAAAGTGGAAAGGTAACACTCATCGAGAGTGCCCTAGCAAGTTTGCCAATGTATTTCATGACTTTTTTTCCTATACCCTCGGAAAGCAAGGTATTTCACACAAATATCATCTCGTAAACTGGGGAAGACTTGTAAACCCCTATCTCAAGGGGGGTTGGGGTTAAGGAGATTAAAATCTTTCAACCTAGCTTTGCTAGGAAGTTGGCTATGGAGGTTTGCTGCTGAACCTGACAACTTCTGGAGGAAAGTAATAGCAGAAAAATATGGGCTGGATGAAAGTGGTTGGGGTAGTCGTCCACCCATGTCGACCTATGGATGCAGTCTGTGGAGAGGAATATGCAAAGCTTCAAACCTTTTCAAAAGGGAAGTTGGATTTAAAGTTGGAAATAGAAGAAGGATTAGGTCTTGGTTGGATGCCTGGACTGGGGAGAATTCCCTTAAGGATATTCCCATCCTGTTCAGTTTCGCTGAAGATAAAGAAGCCTTGGTAGCGGATGCATTTGTGATAAGGGATAATGCTATTTGCTAGGCTCCAGCCTTTAGAAGGGACTTCAATGATTGAGAGATTCAGCAGGTGGGGAATCTCCTGGTTTTGCTTCAGTCTCGGGTTTTGAATCTGCAATCCGAGGATTCTCTAGTGTGGAAAGGGAACAGAAATGGGGAGTTTTCAGTTAAATCCTTCTACAATGTCATAACAGGAGGTTTTGAAACCCTCTTCCCAAGCCGGGCCATTTGGGGAACAGTGGCTCCCTCTAAAGTAAAGTTTTTTGTATGGGGGGCAGCATTAGAGAAATGTCTCACCAAAGAGATGTTGGTTAGAAAAGGTTTTAACTGCAGTGACCTGAGGTGTAGCTTCTGTGGTGGGGATACAGAATCAGTAAACCATCTGTTTTTACATTGCAACTTTGCCTCACAGATCTGGAGCCACTTCTTAAGTAGTCTGTCGTTAAGCTGGTGTATGCCAGCTTCAATTAAAGCCTGCCCGGAGACTTGGCAGATCCAAGGGATGACTAAGAAAGGAAAGATTTACTGGTCTTCTATTCCTTTAGCAATTATGTGGGCAGTTTGGACAGAAAGGAACAGCAGGGTCTTTGATCTTAAAACCTCTACTGAAGCTAAAGCCATCAATTCGGCTTTAGATTGTGTTAGAAGTTGGTTGTCTATACATACTGAATTTAAAGAGGTTGCTTCTGATTGTAATTTTTTGAGGATGGCCTTTGAGGTCCTGTTTTGGTGTGTACAGCTTCTCATTGTACAAAGGACCTTTTACATCAATACAATTATACTTTACCTTTGCTCAAAAAAAAAAAAAAAAAAAAAAATTCTTCCAAGACAAGTACCAAATATTAAGCAAACTGATAATAGGCATCTCAAATGACCTAGATTTCCAATGTATAGATCAAGGGGTTATTAATAACTAACATCCAAAAGTTGCTGGATTTTATGGAAAGAGAGAAATCATACAATCTTCCAAGGCAAGGAAACTTATATTGAGGGTGTCATATGGAGGCTGAACATGCTGCTGTATCATAGGCCTCAATTAGGAAGGAATTTGCAAAAGGTGTTCTTTGTATCGTCTTAGAGAGGACTGCGACGAGATTATTTTCTGAACCACTCCCCTTTTGCACTTTTGTGCGTCTTGCCTTTGCTCTGGTAAGGGTGGAAACTCCCCCTTCCTTAATAAATGATTAATTATCAAAAAAAAAAAAAAACTATCATCAAAAGGCATTATAAGTGAAATATCTTGTCTTTTCAAGGTATAGCAGTATAGCTATAACCTGTTACCTGTTGATGTTTCTGACCACATGGGATAAGCCTGTATTTGCTGTAAAATTTTGAACTGCTGGCCTATTATGCATCAACCTTTTTGTTCCTCTAATAGAAGTACATAGGTTGCTCTATAAAGTTGGAATTTAAATTTCAAAGATCAGCTAGTTATAGAAGTGAGAGCAGAATTCGCAATTTCACATGGGTCCATAGATCAGTTAACAGCCTCGCTGATGCACTAGTGAAGTAAGGGGTCAATAGAAGAACACTATTTTGGGGGATTATATGTAGTCAAATTCCTCTGGATTGTGGGTTAGGTGTCTGGTGCTGGTTTAAATTTAAAAGAGGGAGTTCTTGGCACACTTTGTACTTTAATTCTTTTTCATTATCAATAAAGCTTACTGTTTTTTTTTTTATTCTTTGGGGTAATCTTACCCCTTTCTTAATCTTTGTCAATAAAGCTCACTGTTACTGGTCAAAGAAAAAGAAGGAAAGAAATACATAAAATTTTTAGCATCTAAACTCCTTTTCCTTATCCCAAAGCAAACATATATCCATTTCCAAAGCTCTCTTAAATGAGTAGATAAAGCACCTTTCTTTGGATGTGAGATCATGGATCAACTACATAGTTTTGGCCATTTACAGCCATATATATACATGGAATAGTGGTTGCCTTTAAGCTAATATACTAACAAGGCCCCGTTCGTTTACCAGTAAATAAGAGGGGAAAGTTGGCCAATGGTATCTTTTTCTCATTGACCAACTTTACAGTGTTCTTTTTGCAATAACTATTGAGCCCCACGGCAAAGAGAGCCCCATTTACCCAGGTCAAACTTACCCATCTCTCAGGTGGATAAGTAACTTTTTTTCTTTTTTGATAATTGAGGTGGGTTAAGTAACTTTCCCACCTGGGGGAAAAAATTATAAAACATAATGGGACAAGTTTGCTCATTTTAACATTATATTTTTATGGGTAAAAAGAGTCGTTATCTTACTTACCTAGGAATCAAAAGAACATGGGTACGTGAACTTACCCGGGTAAATGTTACCTAGGAAACATTTACCTGAGCAAGGTTCAAAGTATTGATACGTATCGTATTAGAGCCTTCCCGATACACCCCTATAGGGGGTGTTTCGGGTCAGAAAGTGGTTCAGGGGGTAGACCAGCCTTAAACCGGCCGCTCTGAACCAGATTTGCAAAAAAATAGAAAAAAAAAAAGAGTACCGATACAGGCCGATACGCCCGGCCCTACTGGCGTATCGCACTGTATCGATACTTTGAACCTTGTACCTGAGTAAGTGCACTTACCCGGGTAAGTGAGAAATTTGTATACAAATGGGGCCCAAATGTTTTGTATATGCATAGATGGGCATGGATAACCAGGAAAAACATTTATAGTTGTATCTTGGCAGTACATAAAAATCTCTGGATCTTCAACAAAAAATGCACATTTACCTGTTCGGTCAAGAGAAAAGAAGATATTTTTTGGTTTAAAGCACTTCTTTACAAATAAAACAGTGCCTGCATACTTTGAGTCTGCAAGAGACCACCAAACACGATAGTTCCCAAAGGGTGCATTTGAAATTGCACGCATTAATATCTGCATAAATTTTGAGAAATAACAATTGGACACCATCAGTAGGTGGCATACCCCAACTTGGAATTAAAGACATATTATATGAAATTAGGCATATAACATTGTTTCTTTCCAGAAATTATCAATCAATTGTACAACCAATGGGGTGAACAATGATGAAAAAAAGGATTCCTATATTGCAATTTAAACAATTCTAAATATCATTTTGCTGCCATAGAAATAACATTAGCATTCAGTTCAGGATTTTGGGGGATCAGTTCAGGATTTTGGGGGACTTGCTTAATTTCCAAGAGTCATGTGCGTTCACAGGCCGGGCTTCAGGCTTGGCCCATGAACATTTTTCTTTGAAAGACGTAAGGTAAAACTAAATTAAAAGAAAAGAGAGAATATTCTGTTGGCTCCCCAAATACAGTGGAAGCCAACAAGATAGGTCCAACCAGGCATTGGTAAAGCCACTTATCCCAAACCCACCCCCAAACCTAGATACTGCTCCCACCTTAAAGACCCACAAAACAGAAACCAAAGCAAAAAACCCAAAAAGGCCTGGCCCCTACCCCTAACCAGCCCAAAACACAAAGATCACCCAAATATGCTCCTTCTTCCAGTTGGAACAAGCTCTTGGTGGGCAGACGAACTGGAATTCAGAAACTCACACACATTTACCTCTCTGTTTGGGAATGAGACACACAACGTCCTCCCAAAGACCATTAATGCTTCCACCTGTTGATCAGAGACGACCTCAGCACAATAATGTCCAGATGGTGCCTCTGACTCAACCTCGTAGGTTGGGTTTCCTTGTGCCACCTGGGGAACAACAACCCTCTCTGCCTCCGAGTCATCTGTGCTGACCCGAAGAGTGTCACTAGCATCAGCCCATGAACATTTTACACTGCTTCGGACCAGACCCATACCATTCAAATTTTTGCAAAAGCTCAAACCGAGCCCAGTCCATGAACAGGTCTAGTGCTAGAACTGTGCTGCAAAGAACCATGGATATACAGACTCAACTGCAAAACGATCTCAGCATTCCTTAATAAAACTTGAGGTTGTTAGACCTTTGGAATATTGCAAGAAAGTACCAAATAAACCCTTGAAGCTTGTAGACATTGCAATGGACAATTTTCAGAGGGTTTCGGAGATCAGAGTGTATTGGACAGATTTTCTCTTGGCATGGTTTTTTTTTCTGTTGATTGTTTTTATATTGCTCTATTGGTTTAGCCTTGTTAAGGCCTGGGTTAGGGTGTCATGAAAGACCAAAAATCAATAAAACAAAGTTGATTGTTTATTTTATTTCTAGAGTTGTATTGGGAGATTCTCTAGTGTTACATGATAGGATGTTTTACTTATTGAGTTTATAACTCAAGGAGAGGCTCCTAACCCATTGCTTTTAACCACTGGTTGTTTTCATAGGATATACCCAAAGACAGATGGAGATGGGAGTTAAAGAGATCCCGATCTGGTAACAGAAAAATGGCTTCTCATGTGACAATTTCCTCATAGAATTAAAATCCATATTTGTCATTTCTGATTTTATTTTATTAGTTTCCATGATATGTCCATGTTCAGACTCCAATGTTTGTTTCCTTGTCCCCTAAATCTTGTTAATAGATGGATAGATCACATTGCATATCAAAGTTCAAGAGGGCCCCAAGATCATTGCATCTGAATTAAGAAATAAAATAGAGAAGTAAAATTTTTTTAGAGAAAATCTATTAAACTCCTCTAAGATCAATGACCAAAAATATAGTAGTGATGGTAGTTATTGATCAACATAATAGTGATATTATTTGCCTACAATCTTCTCAATAGATGGATATCTCACTCCACCCAAGTCTACCAACAGAAAGCAAAAGGCAACAACATCCATAATCAGGACTGTAGTTTTAAACTAAAAGCCCGAGTCAACCGGCTTTTTCATGTGTAGACTTACAATGAACAAGAAGATTATTAACAGATTTCTTTCAATCTTTCTTGCTTTGTAAGTGAAACAAATTACAGTAAAAAGTTTCCCTCTAGATACTTGGTGCTCAACAGTCAAAGTTTTGCATAGAATGGCGGTCCACATCAAAGTGACCTACATTGGAATAGGAAGCTCCACAAATATTTTGCAGGGAAAGCATTCAGCCTTCAAGTTATTATTAGCAGAGAAAGGTGTGCTGTTACAAGGTTTCTTTTGGTTTCCGACAACAAATGAGTCTTTCATCAAGGTAGGATGTTGGCGTGCCTTCAATGCAGGTGAAAAGACCAATCAGCTGGTAATTACTTATAATTACTTAGCAACACTACGCTATAATCCTTTTGAGGTAGCCATCTGAAAGAAACTAGGAAGGCAAAGAAGTAATGCATCCTTCCTGAGAAAAATGTTAACATAAGGCTTTGAGGAAATCAAGACTCAAGGTTCAAAATAATGAAAGCATTGGATACAGCAGAGAGAGACCCAGATAAAATTCTTAGGCAGTCAAAATAGTAGTTACCTTTTGTCAAAAAAAAAAAAAGGTTTTTTATCAGAAAAAAAGGATTTCATTTATAAATTAAAAAGCACAATACAAACTGTTGGAGAATTCCAACACCCTTAGTTGCAAGCTTACAATTTTGCCCAGAACAAGTTAGGTCTGTCAGCTCCCTGTTAGCTAGAACATCAGCAACCCCATTAGCAGTTCTTCTCACCCAGCTGAAGCTAGAATTTATTTGCTTTGATATGACATCAATTTCCTTAAAAGCATGTTTAAAAAAGAAAAGATTGGTTTAACAATTGCAGTTTTATTCAACTTGTTTACATATCAATGAAATTAATTTGGCATGACAAAAAACCAACAAATATTGTTAAATTAGAATTAAAGCATTAAGAATGGATATGAGAATACAACTAAACTGTTATTAGAGCCTATTATTTATGTTATTTAGCATCTGTAGTGAGAATGGGCCAAATGGGCCTTAGTGTTCTTTATTTCTTTTAAGTAGTAATTAAAAGTTATGTTTCTTAGTTATGGGCCTTCTTTTATTTTTTTTAATTATTTCTTTAGTACTGGCCGCCCCATTAAGGGCATCCAAGTAATTGTACTCAGACTTAGAATTATTAATAAAAGTGATGAAAGGGGGCTAGAGAAGAGGTTTGAATTCTTCTTTTCTCTCTTCCCTTCTTTTCTTCTTCCACAACCTACTGCTGAAACTTCTTTCTTCTTCTTTCTCTTTCTCTCTTTTCTTCTTTTCTTGCATTATCTGAATTACTGTAAGTATTATTTTCAACTTGGTATCAGAGCGGGTTCTCACTTTCGACTTTTTTTCTCCTTTCTTTGCCCATACATAGTGTGTATGGAGAACTAATCAGTTGATCAATCAGCTACTTATGCAGCCCACTTACGAAGGTTTTTGTAGAGTTTTGTGGAGGCTTTTCATCCTTAGTTGAAGCCCAGGGCAGGTTCTTGGAGATTTTCCCCGAAAACCCTAGATAACTAGAGAAACCTTGTTAGAAGTCATAGTCGTAGAGACAATTTGAACTAGGCGCTTGGGGATCAGAGGTAAACCTTTTAATTTCTATTAGGGGCGCTTTTGGTTGGATTGAATTCTAGAACCTCTGGAAGGGGCGGTTGAAGTCTCTCTCTTTCTCCCCATCCCACAGGACCCTATGAAACCCTAATTTTGGGGGGTTGAAAGGTTGTTCTTTGCTTAGAACAATAAATCTAGCCTAGTAAAGCCCTAATTTGATTTTCGTTTGCATCCATTTACTCAATGGAGCAAACTGGAGGAGAGACCAAATATTCCACAGATTCCGAGTTTGGACATGAGGGGTCAATGGAGAATCTTTTTGGGGTTGTGAATACTGTGAAGCTAAATGGGACCAATTATTTAACTTGGTCTCAATTTATTAAGATACATGTGTGTAGTAGAGGAAAATGGGGTTGTATTACCAGGAGCAAGAAGAAGCCGAAGGAGGATGATCCTACTTATGAAAGGTAGATGCAGGAAGACTACATAGTAGTGGGTTAGTCAAACAATGCTAAGGAATATTTTGAGAATGACCTTACCTCCTATCTTGAGAAGTTTGCGGTTATTTATCAGAGTTCTTGTGCCTACACTCCACAATAAAATGGAGTACGGAGAGGAAAAACAGACACATTGTGGAAGTTGCAAGGAGCATTCTTTTTGCTACTCAAATTGCTACTCAATTTGATGTTAATAATGCATTCCTTAATGGTAATCTCACTAAAGAGGCATATATGTCCCTTCCTCCTGGTATATATGGCAAGGAAATGCAAGACAAGGTGTGTAGATTGAAGAAATCACTTTATGGCCTAAAACAGTCTCCACGTGCTTGGTTTGACAGGCTTATGGCTGCTCTTGTTCAGTTCGGCTACAGTCAAGCTCAATCAAATCATACCCTCTTTGTTAAGAGAAAAGGCACTATAGTGACATTTCTTATAGTTTATGTAGATGATATTGTGGTTACTGATAGTGATACAGAAGAAGTTAGTGCTCTCAATAAGTTTCTCAATTCTGAATTTGAAATTAAAGATTCAAGGGAGTTGCGATATTTTCTGGGCATTGAGGTTGCTAGGTCCAAGGAAGGTATCTTTATTTCTCAACGGAAGTATGTGCTAGACCTTCTTATTGAGACTGAAAAACTTGGTGCTAAACCTGCCTCTATCCCTATTGATGTGAATCATAAACTCTCAGCTAATGATGGAGAACTTTTAGCTGACAGGAGAGTGTTTCAGAGATTACTAGGGAATTTTCTTTATCTATGTATGACTCGTCCAAAGATTTCATATGTTGTGAGTGTCATCAGCCAGTTCATGCATGCTCCCAGAGAGACACATATGGTTGTGCAAAAAGGGTGTTTTGCTATGTTAAGGGAACCCTTGGGAAGGGTATATTACTTGCTAAACATGGACATGTGAAAGTGGAAGCATATACAAATGTTGATTGGGCAGGAAATATGGATGACAGGAGATCCACATCAGGATATTGTGCTATGGTAGTTAGAAATATTGTTTCCTGGAGAAGCAAAAAACAATCAGTTGTTGCTAGATCTTCAGCTAAGGCAGAGTATAGAGCTATGGCCCATGGTGTTTCTGAGTTGTTATGGCTTAGATCTCTCCTTAATGAGATGAGTGTTTCATGTGGCGAGCCACAGATGTTGTATTGTGATAACCAAACTGCTATTAACATTGCTCACAACCCAGTTCAGCATGAAAGAACTAAGCACGTTGAGGTAGACAGACACTTTATACGGGAGAGAGTGGCTTCAGGAGAGGTGTGCCTACCTTTCATTGCATCAAAAGAGCAACTAGCAGATTTTCTAACTAAGGGAGTCCCAAAGGCAAAGCTTCAACATTATGTAAGCAAGCTGGGCATGATTGACATCTATGCTCATCTTGAGGGGGAGTGTAGTGAGAATGGGCCTCAGTGCTCTTTATTTCTTTTAAGTAGTATTTAAAAGTTATGTTTCTTAGTTATGGACCTTATGTGCCTTTTTTTGTTTTCTTTAATTATTTCTTTAGTGCTGGCCGCCCCATTAAGGGCATCCAAGTAATTGTACTCAGACTTAGAATTATTAATAAAAGTGATAAAGGGGGGCTAGAGAGAGAGGTTCGAATTCTTCTTTTCTCTCTTCCCTTCTTTTCTTCTTCCACAACCTATTGCTGAAATCTCTTTCTTTTTCTTTCCCTTTCTCTCTTTTCTTCTTTTCTTGCATTATCTGAATTACTGTAAGTGTAATTTTCAACTGCATCATAGCATAAAAAGTTAAGGGCTCTGAGAATTCCATCAATAACAATTAAGGCATGGTCTTAAAACCATGCTGGACTTTAAAAACATTGGTAACCCCTCTGCACATGCCAGAAACTTGACAAGTTACTAACCATAACATTACTTTCTGTACCATGGTTTCTGCCTCCACATTTGCTTTAGTGACCATTCTGCATTGGCTTGCTTCCTTCACACCAAACTCATAAGTTTTATATTATGGACATTTTCTTAATTAGCATATTACTCTAAAAAGAGTCATCACCCAATACCCAATGTTGGTCCCAGTAATCTGTATTGGGAGGGGTGAACTGGATAAGGACCTAACATTTGGCTTTTTTTTTCCTTTTTTTGCACAAAGTTGCCCATTTCAGACTCGAACCAGCATTCTCATGTTTGTTAGCCCAAGATTTTATCATTGCAGCAAGCAATGGTCCCTTCAATTAACTCATTCTTGGTGAAGGGGCCATTACTTGGTGCAATGGTAAAATATTAACCTGGCAAGCATGAGAATGCGGGTTTGAATCTCAGAGAAGCCACTTGGTGCAACAAAATGCCAAATGTTAGGACCGTATCCAGTCTACCCTCCAAAGACCCCAAATAGCTGTAACCAACATTGGGTAATGACCCTTTTTATTCTATGTGTATAAATTAGTAATGCAAGAGCAGCCAGCCTAAAATATTTGGGTCCAAATTTGGCATCAGTTCTTGGCCCAACAGGCCACACCAATGTCCAGTAATAGTTCATAGGTTCTACATCCACAATCAAGACTCATTAAAGTTCAATATATGTACTCAATGTTGACTTGCATTCAAGTAATCAATGGACATTAACATCACATATTTCCAAGAAGTCAAACTTGGAAAGTTGTATGGGGACTTGAACCCAAGGTTCTAAATATCGATGGGCATATCAGTCTGTATCATTGGGTGCTTCAATTTTTTTTATGTTTTTTTCCAAACTGTTCAGGGGTCAGTTTAAGGCCTGTCTACCCCCTGAAACAGGTCAAACCGTGAAACCTATCCAAAAGTAGTGTATTGGTGGGTCACTGATACGATACATATCAGCCAATACAGGCCGATACGTTGCGGAATTTCGACCCTTACTTGAACCAACACATCAAAGCAAGGGAAGCTAAATTTTGAAGCTTGAACCAAAATATTCACAAGACAGTCTGCAGTGGAAATGGGGTCAAACTTTGGAAGTCGAGTAAACATGTATTAGACTTCATCAACAAGAACTTGGACCATTAACCATCAGATAATAGAGCCTTCACACTATTAATCTAGAAGCAGTTTTACTGTTATCAAACCATCAAATCGTCAGTAGATCAACTAGCTAGTTGAGGGTCAAACTAACTCCATCAATCACTAGTAGGCCAATTACTATGATACGGTTGCCTGCACCAACAAACTGTAAACCAAGTGGACTAGTAATTTATGTTTATTTCTAAGATCTAACTAGCCATTCATATTGTATTATGAACATGGGTTGTCAAAGTTTTTATGATATTATGCAGTTGGGTTAAGTATAAAAAATAGAAAAACATAAATGAGGAATAGTACTCTCTGAGCCCATACAACCTTCATCTTCCATGTTTTCAAAATAGGGAAACATATGTAATAGGTTCTGCATCATATCTTTTATTATATATTTGCAGTCCTTACCAACATACATACATGGTGCAACAGGATTTATGTAGCGCTGACCCCATATAGTTGGGACAAATCTTAGATGATGATGATGATCTCAAATTTAGCATATATATTTCTTCTTTTATTTGACCATAGTCAATGTCTAGGCACTAATTAGTTAACACATCTAATAGGGAGGCCAAAATAGTTAGTTGCAATCATTCTAAATTAACAAGAAAATTTAGAACTTGATTAAGGATCAGAATTATCATTTTTTTTTCCGGAATGGACATAACTAAGTTATAAGTGGGCACAGCAACCTTTTTGCGAAACTAGTTATCAAATTGCCTATAGATACCATTGGGACTATCCATGAGAAATCAATCTTTTAATTGTTCTCTTGCGTAGTTAAGCATTTTAGCTTACTTTAGTGACTCCTCTTCTAATATTGTCTTGGTTATTTTATTTAATTACTTTAGACCTATCTCTCATATTCGTGACATTGTTGCACTCTTCCAAAATTTTTAAGGAAAAATTAGTGCTTCAATTTCTATTCACTATTACAACCTACAATTTCCTACTCTCCACATCAGTTAATGATCTCCAAGTTTGGATGCAGAGGCACAGACATGTAAAGCCATTTAAACATTAAGCATCAGATGCACCTAATGATAACAACACAGTAATCTTAAAATCAAAACATTTATAAGTATTGGAGGACCTTTGATTGGATATGTGCAATGAAAATCAAAAGTTATCAATAATTTACACGTTTAGCATAGGATAGGAAAAAAGATAAATACAAATGGAAGCTTCTATGCATGTAATATATCAACCAAACAAAGGAAAGAATTCATACTTGTTTTTCCTCACGTGAAGAGCTTGTATCATCTTTCAGCTCTGCTGGATTTTTGGGTGCACCCTTGGAGCCAGATGCAGGCATTCTTACTTCCTACCAACACCCACCTAATGTGTCACTAGAACAATTCTCACCAATAAAGTACTTAACTAATTTGACATCAACCGCTTGCTTGATTTTATGTTTTTAAGAGTTTTTATGGAGAGTTCAAAAAGGGAAGGCCAAAAAAAAGTGAAACTTGTTAGAAAAGGAGCCAGAAAACAAGATTCTCAAACAAAAAGCCTTAAGTACATAGAACAAAGTTCTTTTTATTTTAATCAGTAAGTACATAGAACATGATTAACATAACTTACACATTCAAATGTTTCAAAAAGAGGAAAAAAAACTGATTAACCAGAAAGGTTTAGATTATATAAGCACCTAGCCTATATGGAAGAGATTTCCTATTAAAAAAAAAAAAAAACAAATCTAGGGCATTATAGCTGAAAGGTGACAAGAAAACGAACTTCAACAGAATGGTTGTGCTAGGCCGACAGTTCAACACTATTAATATCTGCATGTTAATAGTCAAATAGTGGAAGATGAATCAGAGGTACAATGTTAGGAACCTGCCTAACTCAGGGCTCTTCGAGGGGCCAACCTCCTGAATTCTTGGGAAGGAGAGAGAGAGAGATATTTTAATGCTGAAAGGGTCCTCCCTATTCCTTTTCTGCTCTACTACTTATAGTGCTACAATCTTGACTGTTACAGCTGTTACAAGTGGATGGCAGTTGTTACAAGTGGCTGGTTAGTTGAGCTGATGTGGCCTCCTCTTGTAAAACTGCCTTCTGTTGGTCTGTTCCAACAGTCTTCACAATCCAATTGGACGGCAGTTGTT